TAATACACGTGTCGACTTCTCTTCCGGGTTGGATTCTTTGGCCACCCGACGTCTCAAGGAAGCCTACACACTACGCAAGTCATATTATTGAATTGTTTGGCCAGGGATTGCAAGAACTCTCAACACAACTCAACTGCGATCGGACGCAAATAAAACACGTAGGGCAAGGCGAAGCAAGTGCAGGACGGATCAAGTTGTCAGAAGGTTCTCAGAAGATTCAAGCTTCGTTTTTATTGGATAACCGTGATCGATTAGGAAGATCACACCAAGTACTCGGTTTATCTTGTGAAGATTTCCACAAGATAACCAAACCTCCTATCCCTAACTCAATTAGGATCAACATCGACTCAAGTCCACCGAGAAGAGAGCAACCCGCCCTACCGACGGGTACACAAGGTGAGGAAGGCTTTATACACTACCCCCTCCGTTAGTCGGTCGTCCGGGCGCCAGTGGAGAGTTGGAATAGCATCAGCAATTTTGCGAATCCCACTCCACCACACCTCGCTTCCCTATAATATACCCTAAAAAGGAACATTTTCGGCACCTAAGATGCACTTAAATGCATTAGCATAAATTTTGTTAGTGCGCATGCGCTCGAGAACAGCCCGGAAATGAACAATGTGGTCCTCGGTATTCGACTGTTCATGTTCAGCACGACTATGGACGAAAATGTCATCAAAGTACGTCTGTGCATAACTTCGATGGGGTCGAAAAAATTGCGTTACCAAACGGTTAAACGTATCCGGAGCATTAGATAGCCCCTGGGGCATCACTAACCACTCCCAGAGCATACTGCTCGGAGTACTAACAGCATTAAGCGGAATATCGCTAGCTTGCATGAGCAATTGGTAACTACCATCGACTAAGTCGAGCGCACGGTACGTTGTACAACCGACCATATTGTTTCGAATGAATATCCTTTCTATGTATTGGCGTATATGCAGGTATAATGGCTGCATTGAGCTTTTTATATAAGCATGTACGATACGCCATTTACCGCTAAGTTTCTTGAAACAGAAAGCAGGTGTAGAGTGCGGAGATTTGCTCTTGCGCACCATACCCGCGGCGTGCTTTGCACAAAAAACTTGTCAATGACGCTCACACTGTTCTTTGGGTAAAGGCCACTTCCGTGTTACGCAGTATTTGTTTCTAGGAATCAAATCAATTTCATGACGTACACCCCTATCAAGAGGTAGAAAAGACGGTGGATCATAGCACACCACGTCCTGAAATTCCTTGAGTAAAAGATAGTACGGTTCCGAAGGGCTCTTCAGAATAGATGATCCACTACGTGCAATTAGTGCCGCCTTTGTATCTATGAGGACTGTCTCATTGACAAGCGAGGATGAGTTCAGCTTGAGGTTAGGTCTAATGACCACCATATTGGATAGAGCACCAGCCTTCAATGCTTGATGAAATTCATCCACATAAATTTGTCTATCTCTAGATAGTTCACAACATGAATATAATTTTGTTACAATTTTTAGCTATTTTAACTAATTATATGAAATTATTTAAGAGAGCGTTTAATGATGGGAGGACCTCAAGTTCAGCCTCACCATCTACATCACCTGTCACTCCGTTAACCAGGGTATACAAATGGTCACTGACATCACTACGTCATAAAACATACGCTTTGTGTCTCGCAGCCGCCATCTGGCGGCGCTGACATCTCATTGACGAGGCCGTACCTTTTGAAGTACTTGGGATACCATCATCCCCAAGGCCAATAGATTCCTTGACCTTGACCTGACCTATACGAGAGCAGATTTTATTACCGACATCCAGTGAGTCACTGTCACAGGTGACATCACTAACAAGGTCATCGACATCAATTTGTTCTATACAAGAGCCGATGTCATTACCGACATCCAGTGTCTCAATATTACTATGAGTATCAATTAACGGGGTATGTGACGTCCCACTAAGTGTCACTGAGCTCTGCTCGAAACTATTAATGATTGACGTTGAAGTATATCAACTCTGTAACGGGGTGTACCGTTACACAATTAGGTATAGTCAATTTCACATTACATAAGTAGTTATATACTACACCCGAGATAGCGGGTGTATCTCTATTTGCAGGTAAGTGAGAATCAGTCTCATTATCATCCAATAGGAGAGAGATCTGTAGTTGAGTGGTTCCCATGAGTTCGGTAACCACTCGTACTTCGTCTAAAAACATAAAAATAATAAAATCAGAGTTGAAAATTACCTTAGCACGCTAGTTCTGCGTGATCCCTTACGCTTCCTCGTAAGACCTATAGTGTGTGCAAGTAAGGGAGCTCTAGCCCCGTTACAAACTCAGATACTCCAATATCCAGCACACTAACTGACTCAGTTATTGGCTTGCACCAATAGCGCTTCTGTTTCTAGCGAAGGTGGGCTCATGACTCACCAAAATTTCGCAAGGATCGTTGTGCGTGGCGCTATAGGTTTTGGATGTCCAATCCATCCATGTTTCATGTCGTTCCAGCCAGACCATACCAGGAATGAGATCACATCTCGAGTACAAATCTAGGACAAGACATTTACAAACGCTATTGGAGTCTAAAAACTTCACATTAAAGCTCAACGGAACGTTAGGAACGGTGACACGTAAACCCGTAGCGAGACGAACGGTTATACTGTCACCTTCTTGCGCTTCTATCGTCTCAGCATACAGCTGTCTCCATTCAAGGGAACAATGTCGGACATAATTACCTGACGCCCCTGAGTCAATTAGAATTATCCATGGCCTTTAAAGCCTTTAATGATTGCCGACGCAACCACTAGCCTGACTTGTATTCCTGCTCCATGGAAGCTTCCGCAGAACAACCTGGGGCTAAGCCTGTTTACCTCTACCTCCTAGAGGTTCAACACAACTTAATTCTTTCCCAATAGGGCTTCCCGCGCCTACTGGGAGCTGACGATTTCCTCTACCGTGCTCGCCTTTTGTCTGGGAGCAGGGTTTTGGCTCTGATAATTCAGACGTTGCTTTCGCAACGGACAGCTAAGGCGGAGATGCCTAGTGCTTCCGCACATGTAACATCAACGGATGTTACGTTGCTGCTCAGCAATTTGAAGCTTCGCTTTTTCAGCTTGTCTGAGGTCCATGGGTTCCGTCCTATTAGAGGCATTTGAATTATACCATGATAGACTATAGCGAGCAGATTTGAAGTTGAACTCAGCGTTAAACGCTATGCACACTGCCTCTTCAAAAGTCGAAGGCTGGACACGAAAGACCTCTGTTCTGGCGACCCCAGTACGAAGTCTTTCCATAAATATGGTTACTTCGACTTCCTCTGCCAGACGGTCCTGCTGCATAGCAGCAATAGGAGTTCTCAAATCTTGGACATAGTCCGATGATTCTTTCTTACCCTGTCGGGTAGGTAAGAAGCGTGAGCGCACGCGATAAGCCTGATTAGGCGGTGCAACCACGCAAGTTACTTGCTTTTAAGCATATCCAAATGCTTAAGAAGCAGAGACATCGCTCGTCAGAGCCCACTCTCTAGTTCTCCCACCGAGCTTAGAAATGGCCAGTCCAACTCTTTGCTTATCTGACACAAGCATGGCGGCATCGATTGCCATTTCGACTTCTCGGAGCCAGAAGATAAGATTTTCTCCCTCCTTCCCCTCAAAGGTTTTTAAAACGAGTGGGCGAGCCTTTGGATCTGCATCGGGCATAGGCACCGGGATGTATTACGCTGGCGCAGCTGACGCTGCCTGGTCGTAGACCTGCCCGAGTAGCGTTGCCTCATAACTCATGAAGGCCTCAAGGCGATCATGGAGAGCCTCCGAGCCCTGGCGCAAAAGAGCCTCGATTTGATCGGGCCCAACAAACGCAAATATTTTTTTAGCGCGAGTCGTTGCGACTAAGAGAGGTGATTTTGACTCTCCATCCTCACAGAGAATCAATCCTTAAGATTCAGGTGTAGGATTGACTACAATTCCTACCAAGTGTAGTGGAGCTACACAACTCTTAAGTCTGATGAAGACTTTTAGGTTGATAACCTATCTTAGTTCTATAGAACTAAATAAATCTACGACTTAAAAGTCACCCTGTTCTAAGGAACTAATTAAACGACTTAAAGTCACCCTATTCTAAGGAACTTGAAGAGACCTCAAGTCTACAACCGATAGCTTAAGATTCAGAGAACCAACGCACGAAGTGCACAAGAGAACAAGTCTTATCGAGACTTGCGATCTTTCACTCAAAATGAGAACTGATTTTATGTATGCTTAAGATTTTATGAATAGTCCTACTCTAAGTACCCTACACTAAATTAATTACTATAATAGTAATTATAATATGCAAACTTTGTTATTGGACGACGTATCGTCTTAACATCTGTGTATGATGTACTTAGTACAGCGTTATCGATTATCGAATCCTAATCGATAGGATACGGTATTACCGAATACCGAATCTTTAACTCTCATATTTTATACCTCTCTAAAGAGAAGTAGTTAAGAATACATTATATGTAATATAGAAACTTCAACTGTAAACTTTCGGAATGATGTTTCAACCGTCGTGTAACCCCGTTACAAAATTCGTAACAGTCTATACTTTTCCTTGAGTCAAGTCTTGACTGCCACAATGACGAGCACAACCAGCATGTAACGAGACTGACGGTCGCCCATCATATATTCTTTACTCAATCAGCTGTGCATGAAAGCAGCAAAGGATTACCGAGTAGTAAAGACTGATCTAGGACACTTAAAATAAGCTAGAAAAATATATATATACAAAAAGACTCGGTCTAACTTAATGAGAAAAGCGAGGATGTTCTTTAAAGAAACCGTTCGTACACACTACTTATCCCTTTCAGTCCGTTTTCAGATGTTCCCTTTTAATTCTCTTAGCTTCAGCTTCTCTGAAATGTTCGACAATCTCGTTCGCTTTATCTAATGGAATTGTCGATCCCGATGCCTTTATCGTATATCTGTCATACAAGTTCGTGTATGGACCTAGGATTGATTCGATTTCGGCCTTGCTCTTTCCAGCGATCATGAGATCAGCTTTTAAAATTCTCGGGGTGCTGGTTATGATAAAGTAATATCGCGATCATTTTCCATTTGTAGTCCTCATTTTTCAACATCTGATCAATCCAATCAACTGGTTTCTCCGTAATCTCTTTCAGTCCTCCTATAGTGTACAAAGCCTCAGCTAAACTTTCATCGTAGGCCTTACCTGCCCTCTCCATCAATCGTTCGAATACGTTGTTAAGTGCTTTCGAAACCCTCTCTTCTTGGGTGTCGCTTTCATCGCCAACGATGCGCATCCTCGGTGTCGAGGATGCGTCACCATTAAGAAAAAGTTTGGTTACAAGAACCAAAGACAGAATATTAAACGCACGCATAGTAACACGTGATTAGTGAAGAGCCTCAAAAATCCACTTTAGGGCTCTAGAGAAAGTTAAAGAATGAGTCCGAATTAGTGAACGAAAGAGGCGGATAGATCATGTCAGCGGATACTGCCAGCCAACCCTTACGCTGTTCATGAGATTTGAATTTGGACCTTTCAACCTTTCTGACAAGAAAAAGTAAGCAGTACATGTTCAAGCGCTTCGTAGCTAACAGAAAAAACTTAATATATAACATTCATGTTTAGCGCTTATCAACCTTAACAGAAAGCGGCAAAAACTATCTTACTTGAATAGTTCACAGAAAATATTATCCAACTACTCAAATGGGAAGCTTACAGGAACCAGAAAGAGTCGTTACTATGGATCATGTTAGAAAAAGGCACGGTTGAAGTTACAGTTGAGGAAACGGCTGACGACTTAGGAAGGCGTTCGAGGATCAGTTGAGCGATTGATTGGACAGGTGCGTGGATGGGTGATTGATTGGACAAGAGTGATGGAGAACAAGAACAACTAGTCCATCATGCTAGCACGAAAAAGATAACACTAATAACAATGTCAGAATCCTTTTATCACAGTGCCGCCGACTTCCTCTCTACAGCTTGCATCATGGCAAGCGAACAGGTTATGAGCCCAAGACGGGAAGCAAACGACGACACCAACGCGGCACAGGCGCCGCCGGCAACCGGTCACGAAAGGGCCGCGGCCGCGCCTGCTACGGTCGTCTCTCCTACCGCTCACGCAAGGAGCCCGGAGCCTGACGCACTGGAGAGGGTCCTCAAGATGCTCACGGGCATGGACTTGCGAATGAAGAAGATAGAAGCATCCCAAGCACGCATGGACGAAGACGAGCGCATGCGTGGCGCTCACGAGAGCGAGTCGTTCCGATCAGAGCTCGGGGCGGACTTCGCAGGGCGACTCCACGGCGGCGCAATGGAGCTTGAGGATTTGCACGATCGGCAGTCTCAGCAGCAACTGCGGCGTGCACCAGCGCGGCTCGAAGACCTACGGATGCGAGCGAGAGAGCAGCTGCAGCAGCGTGCTGATCCGTTGCCTCAGCCGCCTGCCCCATTGCCACCATACCAGCCGGCACCAGTGCCTCAGACGATGCCGGCAGCTCCAGGGCAGCCAGTACAGCAGCAGCAACAAGTAATGCCGATGCATTATCGCACTCCGGATGCCAGGCAGCGCAAGCTGGCGATCCGAAAGTTCGATGGCACTGAGGTGTACGTTGGACTCGGGTCCGGCTTCTTCGACTGGGGCAAGACGTTTTGGCGCCAGGTCGACATGGCACAGGAGTCTTGCGGTTTCCTGTGGAGCGAGAATGTGAAGACTGACGTGCTCGGGCAGTACCTCACTGGCACTGCCGAGCGGTATTTCAGCAAGCAGGTCGACACGTGGTGGGCCGTGCTGCCTACATTGCAGTACGTGATGCAGCGCATGCTGGACACGTTCAAGACGACGATAACCGCCGCTCAAGCGATGAAACTCTTCACGGCGAAGAAAGAAAGCAAGAGATCCTGGCCAGAACACTACTTGTATCTGGTCGCTGTCAGCGACGCTGCGGGCGGCGCTGAGCAGCAGGTTCTGGAAAACATCGTGCGCTACGCCTCGTCTGAGCTGTCTACAATACTCATGGCGAAGTACCAGACGCACCGCACCGACTACCTCGTGCACGCGGAAGAGCTCGCGCACTTCGCGCAAGCAATCGAGATGGAAGCTAGATCAGGAAGATCCTTCGGGAAGGAGGTCGTCGCGCACGTGGACGAATCCGTGTCGCGCAAGGAGACACGCACTTTCCACGGGTGTGGGAAGGTCGGCCATCTAAAGAAGGACTGTCGCAACAAGAAGAATGACGACAAGAAGAGGGGCAGAGGCCCAAAAGACGGCGGCAGCATCACGCTAGCTGTTGGTGAAGGAAGAGGTCGCAACGGCTCGCGCGCCACCGGTCAAAGCCTGGCGATGGCGATTGGTGACGACAGCGATGACGAAGATGACGACTGGATACTCGATAGCGGTTCCAGCCGCCACCTTGTGAACGACGCGACCCTGCTGCGCGACGCGAGGGACTGCGATCAAGAGTGCCACTTGGCAGATGGGGAGACCATCAAGTTAACGCAAGTCGGAAGCGTCGTGCTGACTGTGCTCGCGAGAGGACAGCAGCAAGATGTGACGCTGACGGACGTGTATCTGGCGCCCGAGTTATCGCGCAACATCATGTCCTACGGTAAGCTCGAGATCAAGGGTTTTGGGCTCGTCTACGACGGCGAGTCGCGCGTGTTGGCACGACGCAGCAATGGCCAAGTCGCGTTCGATGTGGCGATGGACCACAATGTGCTCTACGTCCAGACAGTTGCAGCGGCTCGCGAGCGACGAGCGCCTAGAGACGCGCTCATGGCGATCCTGACGAGCCAGGCAGCTCCGGAAGAACCCGAGTCGGACACGCAAAGCGGCTCGCTGCTGCACTTCCACCAAAGGCTTGGGCATCTCGCGTACGACACCGTCGAGCGCATGGCGAGAGACCCCGCGTCCGGCATCGTGCTAACGGATCGCAAGCGCCCGACGTGCATCTCTTGCGCACAGGGCAAGCAAACAAGGAACGTGCAGTCGAAGAAGGACACTGGATCATACTCGCCGATCGACAGAGTTGGCGGGGTGATCTGCTCAGACCCCAAGGGTCCGATGACCCCGAAGGATCGATTGCACAATCGTTACCTTGTCAACTTTGTCGATCATAAGTCGAACTACTGTCGCGTCTTCCTGGCGCCTACAAAGGACAAGGCGGCCAAGAAGTTTGAGCACTTCCTCGCGTTCTTTGAGCGCCAGTTCGACTGCCGGATCCACGTGCTACGCACTGATGGCGGCGGCGAATACGCGAATGTAGACCTATTCTGCAAGCGAACGGGCGTCGCGCGGCAGATCAGCGAGGCGAGGAATCAGGCGTCAAACGGCAAGGTCGAGCGCATGCACAGGACGATCCTGAACATGGCGCGCAGCATGATCTTTGCCAGACGACTGCCATTGACGTTTTGGGGCGATGCGGTAGAGTACGCGGCGTACATCCTCAACCGCAGCCCAACGAGCGCGAATGCGAAGCGCGCGTCGCCGATCGAGGTACTGACGAAGCAAGTGCCGGATCTGCGCGACATCGTCGCCTTTGGCTCTATCTGCTCGGTCTACCGTGACCCAGGCAAGAACTCACACGCGCAGCGCGCACAAGTCGGCGTGATCATTGGGCGGAGCGACGAGACTAAGGGCTTTCGCGTCTTCCTCCAAAAGGAGAACAAGGTCACGATCACGCAGCATGTGCGCAACGTCGAGACGCTCAGCGCAGAGCAGAATGGTCAGCTGCAGCGCGCGCTCGAGTATGAAGATCAAGCCGTGGAGCCAGCGGCAACAGCAACAACAAGCAAAAAGTTGCCGGCTGCTGACGATGCCGCATCGCCGACGATACGCAGCGGCAAGAAGAAATCGAAGTCGTGGACACGCGCGGCTCACCGGACGCGCGGCGCTACCAAACGCGCACATGCGGCCGCCCATCAGGAGGAGCCAGCTGGCGACGACAGCGTGGTGGCTCATGTGTATGAGTGCGATCCCAAGAACTACGGTGAAGCGCTACGCAGCACTAAGCGTGAAGGCTGGGAAAAGGCCATGCGCGAAGAGCTCCAAGCCCTAGAAGACAATGGCGTGTGGCGCTTGATCAAGCGACCTCCGGGCAGCAACACTCTGCACACGAAGTGGGTTTTCAAGACCAAGACCGACGCGCACGGTGAGATAGAGCGCTTGAAGGCTCGACTGGTCACCTGCGGCAACGAGCAAGTTTTTGGGGTCGAATACCAGCTTACATTTGCGACATGTCGACCGTGAAGGTGATCTTGGCGCTTGCGGCGATATGGGGTGTTCCAGCAAAGCATGGCGACATCCCCAACGCGTATGTCAAGGCTGACAAGGAAGCGCACTTGGAAATACTACTCTAGGTGCCGCAGGCAATGACAATCGATCAAGACGCGCTCAAGATGGTAGGCGCAGCGACAAAGAAGGAAGTAGTGCTGCAGCTACGAAAGAGCCTGTACGGCCTCAAGCAGGCTGGCCGACCCTGGAGCCAGCTCCTGCACGCTCGACTGCTCGAAGCCGGCTTCCGGCAATGTATTACCGACATGTGTCTATACTACCAAGTCGAGGGTGGACAGTTGGTCATCGTGGGCGTCTACGTCGACGATCTACTTGCTACCGGCACGGACGCTGCAGCCGTCGACCGATTCTTCGTCAAGCTCGGCAGCTTGTCGATCAAGGACCTCGGCACCGTTAGCAAGTTCCTCGGCATGCGTGTCACGATTGATAACAGTAACGGCTACGTGCTTGACCAGGCCGAGGCGATCGGCGAGCTCCTGCGTGAGCATGGGCTCGAGGATGCAAACCCGACGAAAGCACCAATTGGGGCTGACTGCTACGACGTGCTACCAGATGACAGCGCGCTGCTCACCGAGACTAAGGTGCAGAAGGCGCCAGCAATCAAGACGTTCCAGTCCCTCGTCGGCAGTCTTCTGTGGATCGCGCGTTGCACACGGCCGGACATTGCGTTCGCCGTGCACAAGGCGACGCGTCAGACTCATCAGCCGCGACTCCACGATATGAAGCTTGCCAAACGCATCGCGCGGTACCTGAAGGGGACGCGGGACTACAAGCTTCGGATGGAACCAGCGAAGCACCTCGACGGCAAGATCCAGCTCGAGGTGTACTCGGACGCCGATTTTGCGGCGGAAAAGAGTGACAGAAAGTCCTTGACTGGCGGCATCATCCGCCTGAACGGCATGCCGGTCAGCTGGACGTCGAAGAAGCAAGGCGGCGTCTCGCTCTCGACGATGGAAGCGGAGTTCGTCGCTGCATCGGAGCAGGCGCGCGAGCTTCTTGGTATCAGGGAGATGCTAACCGAGATCGGTAAGCCGCCGGCGCTACCGATGGTACTCCACGTCGACAATCAGGCGGCACTGAAGCAGCTGGCAGGCGAGGCGTCATCTCTAAAGGCCAAGCACATCGATGTACGCACGAAGTTCGTGTGCGACTTCGCTCGACGCGGGATCATCGTGTCGCAGTACGTCCTCTCGGAGCAACAACTAGCGGATCTTTTGACGAAGGCGCTAGATGCAGTCAAGCTCGCGGCGCTGTGTGAGATGATCAGCCTAGGTTAGGACGGTAAGTCGTAGCCAAGGAGGAGTGTTAGAAAAAGGCACGGTTGAAGTTACAGTTGAGGAAACGGCTGACGACTTAGGAAGGCGTTCGAGGATCAGTTGAGCGATTGATTGGACAGGTGCGTGGATGGGTGATTGATTGGACAAGAGTGATGGAGAACAAGAACAACTAGTCCATCATGCTAGCACGAAAAAGATAACACTAATAATAATGTCAGAATCCTTTTATCACAGTGCCGCCGACTTCCTCTCTACAGCTTGCATCATGGCAAGCGAACAGATCATACATACAATACCGCAACTGGCTAAAAAGTAATGACTTCCTCCAACATAGCCACAAGTAAGGACTCTTCTGTTTAACGCAATGGCCCTTCCAGCACCAGATATATAATCGTGTGCTGGCTTCACCTCCATGCTTCTTTCGCGGTAGTATTGAGAGAAAAAGCTCTCTTCTTGCTGCGTGCGCTAAAGGAGGTTGCGCAGCGTGCAAATCCCAAGGGGGTGCAACAACCCAGACACCACGGGGTGAGGGGCATGGCGACAGTGGTTGCCACCCTCGTCTACTTCATGCTATTGTACGTCAACCTTAACGTCGTTGACCCCATTGCCGAGCGCGAATTCCAGTCTCACGAAGCAAACCTTACTAGAACTTGACCTGATCGGACCAGCTCCGGAGCGTCCCAGGCCCCTCGGGAATGATATGGTGCGCACTTCCCGCCACTCCGTAGCCCTGTCTGCACCTGTGCTAGGTATTCGAACCTGGGGAGCGTCCCTCGTAACGCCTGACGCCTCGACCAGCATATTGAGCCAGCGAGAAGAAGACTAATGTACTTCTGGTAAAAGTATACAGATATATAAGGTGCTTCATCAAAAGTTGTGATTTCTTTCTCTCTTATAGTCGATTCGCCGGCACTCTCGCTTAGCTATGGTTCGTCTGGGTGGTATCTGCTGAGCTGTCCTGGACCACCTTCAATAGTCCTGGCGCGCGTCGTCTTCTTTCACCCTTTGGCAGCATCGGAGCTTGCAGCAACTATTGTCTTGCCCTCCGCTGATCCTTAATGTTGTTTGCAGCAATGCTCCAATGAATTTCCATCGCTGCCTTGCTTCAAAGCGATGTTACTCTGCTGACCTTGGTTCAAAGCGATGTCACTCTGCTGACCTTGGTTCAATAACACCATGATGCCGCTGACGCAGCCCGTTGTGGTGTGTTCCGTGCTGTATCAAATTTGAGGGGTGTACTTGAAGCTCTTGACCAACATCTAAGCTCAAGGCGTTGAGCAACAATGCAAGACCCCATCAGTTGCATCAAGCACTTGTAACGGTACAAAGTTGCGCTACATCTTTTACAAAAATATGGTATGATAAACGACTTAGAAATAGAGTACCATGAGAAATGAGCTATCGCTTTATTTCTAAAAAAATTAACAAGAGAATTGTTCTTTTCCACCAATCCAGATACAATTCTGTCGAGTCCTTATTGCAGCGAATAATGCCATCTTTGCGGCCGAGTAACGTGGGTATTCTGGCGATGGAAGTGCATTTTCCATTGGATTATGTCGCGCAGCATGAGATGGAGCAGTTTGATGGCGTCAGCAGTGGCAAATACACGCTAGGATTGGGACAAGTGGGGATGGCGGTGCCTGGAGACCGCGAGGACGTGAACGCTCTAGCGTTGACTGCAGTATCGAGGCTTTTGAACAACTTTCAAGTCTCGTATGAGCAAATTGGACGTCTTGAAGTGGGTACAGAGACATTACTGGACAAGAGTAAATCGACCAAGACAATCCTGATGCAGTTATTTGGAGACAATGTCGACGTGGATGGAGCTACAGTCATTAATGCCTGTTACGGTGGCACTGCAGCACTTTTAAATGCAGTCGCGTGGGTTGAAAGCTCTTTCTGGGATGGAAGATATGCTGTCGTTGTTGCTACAGATATTGCAGTGTATGCCAAGGGACCGGCACGTCCTAGTGGAGGATGTGGAGCTGTAGCAATGCTCATTGGACCAGATGCTCCTATGGTACTGGACTGTAGGACTAAAGCCACTCATGCAGCTAATGTCTGGGACTTTTACAAACCTGATGTAAGTACCGAGTATCCCACAGTAGATGGCAAGTTGTCCAACTCGTGCTATCTTCACGCTCTGGATGAATGCTACCAGCTTTTTTGTAAAAAGAGTGAGCTAACTGCACAAAAAGACAGAAAAGATGTTGGCATGGCTTCGATCGACTATGCGGTGTTTCACTCGCCGTACAACAAATTGGTGCAAAAGTCTTTTGCTCGTTTGCTGTTCTTAGACTCGAGACGGTTGCTGAGTAGTGATGATGAGGCTGCTAAAGTGATGTTTGCTCCGTTGAGAAAGTGGAAAAATACACCACTGGATAAGACACTGAACGATCGTGAGCTGGAACTGGCTGCTCGGGATATTGCGAAGGCAGAATTTGACATTAAAGTGTCGCCGAGCTGCACCACTTCGCAGCAACTGGGTAACTCCTATACGGCCGCGGTATACATAAATTTGGCAACGTTGGTGTACGCGCGTGCCAAGGTTTTAGCACTAGGTGCTCGGGTGCTTATGTTTTCATACGGCTCAGGAAGCCTTGCTACCATGTATGTGCTCCACACGCGTGAGCCGACCGAGTCAGCTAAGGGCAAGTTTTCACTGGAAAAGATGGCCAAGTCTTTGGACCTTACGGCTCGTCTTGAGCGTCGCAACAAAAAGACTCCAGAAGAGTACACTTCACGTATGAAGTTACGCCAGAGCACTTTTGGCGCTAAAAATTATTTGAAACTTACACAGTCGATTGCATCCATCCCTGAAGGAGATTATTATCTCGATCGAATTGACGACGTGGGTCGCCGTTACTACGCTTGCTCAAAGCCGCGAAATACCGCGGAAAGCAACGAACAGGAACGACGTAGCGTGTTCAAGGCAACGCAAGAGCTTGCCGGTGCTGTGTATGTGGCTGGTACCAGTGTTGGTCTGCCAGGTCACGCTAAGGTATTTGAGGGCGAAAAGTCTATTGAGAAGCTCCTGAATGGTGAAAACTGTATCCACAAGGTCACTGATGCGAGCAAGGACAAGATGGTAGCCCAAAACATTGTGCATGTCCACAAGGACTATACTACCGGTAATGTGACACGTGCTCTCGTTTCCACTCGCAAAAAGTGTATTCAAGTGTCTGCTATTGCGAATGAGGTTGATCTCGAGAAGGACTATGGTGTTGCCGCAACAATAGCGCGCTCAATGGACAAACCCACACAGCTGGCTGTGGCTGCTGGACTTGAGGCTATTCGCAACGCTGGCCTCGTGGACGGAATTGATGCCAATTGGAGCTTGCCTGAGAACATGCGCGACTCCACGGGTGTGATTTACGCTACATCCTTCCCTACGATGAATGCAGCGGTGTCAGAAACCTCTCGTTATTACGAAGAACTCAATAAAGAAGACGAGTGTACGTATGAGATGGATCGCAAAATTCTCTTTCGGCTGCTTGTACTTGCGAACGCACAAATCGCTCAACTTACTGGAGCCCGCGGACCTAACACGCAGATCAATGCGGCGTGCGCAGGCGCAACACAAGCCATTGGCATGGCTCAGGATTGGATTAATTATGGTAAATGTCAGCGGGTGATTGTAGTGTCTAGCGACACCGCTAGCTCGGAGGTCATGATGCCGTTAGTCGGTGGAGGCTTTCGTGCACTTGGTGCTGCATGCATCGCTCCTACGGCAAGTGCTGCGGCGCGACCGTTTGACGCAAAGCGTAGTGGTATGATTGTCGGTAGCGGAGCGATCGGGTTGGTGTTTGAGTCCCCTCTGGCCTTTGCAGAACGTCCAGCAGCTGGTGCTATTGACAAGAAGAGCGTGCGTCTGCTTGCCTCTCAGTTTAGTAACTCGGCCTATCACGGTGCTGCGCTGGAGTCGAGCCACGTCGGACAGGAGCTCGTGCGTTTCTTGGAACGCGTAGAGAGAGACTTTAATATCACTCGTGAGGATATCGCTCGAAATGGAGTCTATTACAGCCACGAGACGGGCACGAATGCATCGGCTACGTGTTCATGTGCTTACACGGAAGTGACGGCATTACGTGCGGCTTTCGGCTCCGAGCTGCTTGCTCAGCTGATGGTTGCAAACACGAAGGGATTCACAGGACACCCAATGGCCGTGGCGTTCGAGGACGTGGCAGCCATTGAGGGTCTGCGCAGGGGATGTGTACCACCTGTGGTGCACTTTGAGACTCATGATCCAAACCTAGGCGAGACTCCTCTTCGCCTTGCCCCGGGAGGTGCTTACGCTCACAAGTATGCATTGCGCTTTGCTGCAGGTTTCGGATCCCAAATTGCATTTACTCTCTACACGCTGGAAGATTGAGCAAGTCACTTGATCTCCCCGCCTGATCAAAGTGGGTAGATGATGTAGATAGAAGACATACACGACATCAAGCTCAAGAAACGCAAAAGACACGGATGATCACATATTCATAAGCCTCTTTCAGCCTCTTGAAAAAGAAGTGCATGATAGACAATACAAACCATCACTAGTCTCCAAACTGAAGGAAATAGAGCTCAAAACTCCACGGACGCGCAACTGGCCGTGCACTTCTGGCGGACGCTGCCCATTTCGTTACCCCACATATCTTGGTTCGTGTCACTGTTTGAAGGGCTTGGGCCGGCGCTGAACTGCATGCCCGACTTGGTGCTCAATATGACACCTGTCCCACCCAAGATGCTATCTGTCCGACGACTATCATATCCACCATCCATGTCAATCGAACACGGCCTGCCGTAGCTAGGAGCCCTTCCAGCCGCAGAATCTACAGTTGAACCAGTAACGTATCGTGCCACCGCGCGATTCTTGCTGTAGCCATTGTCGCCGCCGTAGTTGTTGCCATAATTATTGCTGTATCGGTATTCGTAATTGTTGTTTCCGTATTTGCTCGGCTGAGCTAAGTAAGCCGTGGATACTGAAGTTGCAGACGGCTGTGAGACCACATTACGGCTCATATCTGGTTTGTTAGGAGAGAATCCTGTGTCTGAATCCTCATCGTCCGCCTTTTTTCTCCAAACGACAAAACCTGCGAAGCCCACTACTGCGGCAGCGCCAAGACCGATGCATAGAATCAAGCCCAATTTAGAGTCTGACGTAGATCCGTGGTTCGCTGTGGTTGACGCGTCGCTTTTGTTACTGAGCGCTGTGTCTCGTGTAACAGACTTGTCGTCTGTTGGTGTAGTGATCGTGTCTCGTGTGGTAGACTTGTCGTCTGTTCGTGTAGTGACCGTAGGGGACACTGCCGAGCTTATGCTGCTCTGGTCGGGGTTGTTGCTTTTGTCCTTCTTTGCTTCATAGGTGCCGGCAGCGTCTGGCGGCGGAAAGTTGGATCCTTTAGATGTAGAAACAGATTCATGTAAAGAACTAGTGGGCGCGCCGCCGGTCGATGCATCTTCCTGTACCTCTTCCTCGCTCGTAGACGATTTCGCAACTGGATTTGACGTTTTCGTGGGCGTAGGCTTCTTTGGAGTTTCAGATGTAGGGGTGTTGCCGCTCAGGTCGGTGGATAAGAGAGGAATCGTGGGGTTCTTCTCAGTAGAAGAGTTTTCGATAGTCGGCGTGGCTTCGATGGTCGGCGTGGCTTCGATAGTGGATAAATTGCTGTGGACGGGCAACTTGGATTCACTACTGGAGGAAATCAATTTCTTCTCGGTGGAGGCGAACGTTGGTATAGTCTTGGAACTCTCGTCTGGGTCGGTATACGAGCTTTGGTTGTTTTCTTCTGGTTCTAGTTCCTTTTCATCATCGGACGTCTTCAGTCCTATCGTCATTCAAAAAGAGACACAAATCAGTCTATAGTACTCAACTGGTCTCTAGTTATACATCTCCACATACTTGTAGGACACTTGGTTGTTCCAGTAGGACAGTCTCCATTGTCATCAACATCAAGACATATGTATTCAGTCCGAGTCAAAGCTGAAAACACCGAGTCGTTCTCCTTCTCTATCACACACTGATTGCAATTCTTTTTCAAGCGGTTGCAGACTTTAGACGATGTTTCATCCACGAAACACTCTTCTGCCTTAGTACAGATCGACGATAAGGAGGTCGTGACTGTCGAATGCACTTTATCCACCTGCACGGTGACTATATAACCACATCAAGCGATACATTAACACGATAAATAAAAGACCATGACACCAATACATGAAGTTTACTCACCAGCAATTAACCCAGCGAGATAAAAGTTGCGTCTTAACATACCCCTGTGTATTTAATAGCGATAATGTACTGCTAGAAAGGCGGAAATAAAGCAAATAAGGTCACTTATGACATGATGAAACTACTTCATGTGAGAAAAAATTCCATTTACCTAACGCAATGTACTTGGGGATCCGATAATGGTGCTTAAGCGGGTGTACTAGCGCCAGGAACAGCTGATGAAGAAGCGAGAGGACACGATGCTACTATATAATGTACTGGCTATAACAAGAAAGTAACCGAAACCTGGTTCCAGATGGCACGTAGAGACGGGCCATGAGGATCGCAGAGTGACAAAACCGGTGTATTGGCAACTTTATCTAATGTGTTTGTTATTATAGCGGGTTATAGTGTATAGTGCCGGTTTTGGTATTAACGTCTCATGCTGGATACCATACGGTTTTATAGCAGAGGGACACAATTTTTTAAGTCTCAGCATGAGCCAAAGGTCACCGAAATAAAGTGAATGTCATTTCGTTGCTTACTGTTGACTGTCTTCTAGTACTGGCGATATGACATTTACTTGACAGTAGGAAGTAACGTGACTTTATAAATGATATCGGTGGTGAATAGAATACAATAATAGTCAGTCACGGCAAACTGGTGCGACCAGAAAGTGTCAGAATTACAGCATCAACTTCAAGTCAAACTCAGGTACATCGATCTTCCTACGTGTAACAAGTTGATATGTAGCTGCCGTACGCATCAGTGAAAAAAAGACTTGATGTGATGAAAGTAATGTCATTGCTTCAATGTCGGTGATATTAATGAAGTCTGGCACTCGTGGACTCCGTCTGAAGTAACAATACGAGCATGTAGCATGCTGGCTTTGTCATTTAGTCGTCTCCAATCTGTTAGGAGCACATGTCACTGGATCAGAGAGAGCCAAGGAACCAGCTCCGATTCATTACGACTGCGCCATGTCAGTATCTGGTCGCTTTTTCCTATCGAGGAAAGGCACCATCCTATTGCAAACGAGAACGACGCATAAATCCTCACGGCATTGAAAATAGCCCCCATCGAATCTTCTACGTGCCAAGCTGACGATGTCTAATGCCTCCAGCACATAGTGTTTGCAGTCCGCACACTGCGTTTTAGTGCAGGTAGACACCTCAATGACGTTAATAGTCCTCTGTTCGCCACGCATGACCACGTCGTCTTAGGTAGACAGGCATCAAATGTGTGCAAGTACTGTACGACGTTAAGCTACCGAGCAATGTCGAGCCATAGACGATAGACAGATCTCCTTATTAGACCTCGTTCTTGCTATTTGTAGATCATCTTGTCAAACTTGACTTCGAAGATCTGGACGTCAGGTTGTTGGAAAATTTTGCGTTCTGATGCGATACGTTGTCAGCCTCAAGTAGCAGCAGCATCGACATATTCACTTGACAAGCTCATTATATATCACGCTGTAAACATCGCTCTCTTCAACACCATAACATAACTACCTTAAGCAGCAAAACGACATATGTGCTCCTGAAGTTGCCTTTATGGCTACATTAATCATCTGCATTTGATTCCGTCCATTACGAGCTAATCATCTATCACTACTCTACAGCGCACTTTTCAGTCATCATTAGACTTGTTCTTACTCATTGTCAGTTAAGCTACGAGAGAGGAGACTTTGATCCCGCAATGGACGTTTGCCAATAGACGACATGGCTCGCCGTCGTGCATGCCGCTCAATATTGAATGGAATGTCAATGGGCGCGTATTCAGACAAGTTGGTGTACGTTTGTGCCTGCGTGCCTGGTTTCTCCTGAATAAAGTTCATGAGGAGACTGCCCACATCGCTAGACTTGTCGCTCATAACAGCCGCCAAAATGTGATTGAACTGCTCGATACGGTAATTAATAAGTGCACGGCGTGTAGTCAACATGGTGAGCATGCCGCCACTAGGCATTGAAGGTAGCCACGGGCGTCCAGCCAAATTGCATTTGACAGCATTTAGCGGTAACATTGCATTGTTATTGTAGCTGGCAACGCCTCCATTCGGTCTGAATTCTTCAGTCAACACAGCAGGAGCACTAGACCGCACTTTATTCTCCTCCACTAGCTGCTGTGGTGAATTGCTGCTGTCCTTACTGATCAAAGATGCCCTCCTCTGGTCCGTGCCATTCACTACCCGTCCGTCATCTATCCGCGTTGGCGACCAGAGTGGCGAGGCCTCTGGACTCTCTGTCGTCAATGGATTGCACAGTAGTGACGAGTACGGAAGACCGAAGCCGATTGTTGTGCTGCTACGAGGTCGTTTTGAGGGCATAAAGGGGGTCAGCTCGTGATGAAACTTGCGAAAGTCGTTGTACCGACGTCGCACCACGTATCCCTCGAGGGGTTTTTCCCACGATCGCACCTCGAGAAGATAGTAGACGACCTTATCGGAGGAGCCATATGTGTGACCGACCACTACGACGCTCTCGTAAACAGTTCCAGACGTGCTGCAAACACTGAGACGTGGCTCCGTTACTGCAGAGTCCGAGCGATACCGAGCCATATTGAGCTCGGCACCCAAAGATCGTTGACGAAGTGGCAAATTCAGAGGTTTCGTGACATGTGCCGTCAGTGCAGTACGACGAATTGGACTGAGCTCCATCTCATTTATGTCCTTGATTGGCCATGCAAAGCCTGCTTGGTACATGGCTTCGACGGTGTTCATTGCAAAATGAAGCTGTTGGCCTGTAGACGATCTTCGACACGTGAGCAGGGCCTGATACAGAGCTGAGCTGAGTGGATGAGGGAAATAGCGAGCGACCTGATCCTTTCGATGCTGTTGCAAAAGCGTTGTGCTTGATCTCAGCAAGACAGAGAGAATGCTGGAGTGAAGAAAGGGTATCAGCATACAACGGTGGCGGCTGATGTGGAGACAAATGAGGTCGAATACCCATCCGGATGAGAGCAAAAACGAGGCCAAAGAAGATGGAACGTTGCCAAGGCTTTGGCAGGTCATGGATGCGTTGCGATACTTTTTCACGTCGTCCATGAGCTCCGCTGCGTTACTATGGACTTGAGTCAAACAAAGTCCATTCTGTCTCCATGCTCAATGCAGTAGCACTTGCTTGATTTGCATCCATTGCCTAAGTGCATTTTCGAAGACGAAGCGAGCTGCTGCAAATCAATGACGCCGCGAGTTGAAGTCGGGAGAGCAGCCGCACAAGAAAAGTATCGTGCATCGAGACAACTAGAGTGAGTGGTGCCATAAGACAGAGAGGAGACAAACTGTCAGAACGAGATTCGAATTGTGGGCTCTCTGTCCAAAGGATCCACTACCACAACTCAGTAGAAGAACGTGTCGCGCGTTGTGTGTCGCTCGACGCTCCGAAAGCGATCCTCCTTGCCTACCCGCCACAAATAAAAGTCTAGCTCAAGGGTCTTGATGCGGCCATTGCTCTCTGCTGCAATCTGGTCGCACGCTACGATCACGGCCGCGCGCAGCTCGCATTCCTGCTGACCGGTAGGCAGCTCCTCGCCGCGGTTAATGCGATTCTCCAAGTCAGCATCGTACTGTGGACATGCAAGGCAAACGCTGGTTGGATAACATGCACGGATTGAGTGCAAGCTCGACTTTTCATACCTCAAGAACTCCCAGAGCGTGCAACACACACGGTAACACGTTGTCGCTTAAAGCCGTTAGCTCATTGATGTCGGTGAACGTCAGCTTTGGGTCGGAGTCCTGATAGTAGCAGATTGTTAAACCATCAGAGTGAATAAGTGCAATAATCAAGCTGTTCTTTCTCAAGACGTCATCACCTTGAATCGCCGGTGAATGCACGCAACAGCCAATTGAGCACGCTTGAAGAGGTACACTTTCTCCCCATGGAACGCATAGCTGTCATCAAAGCCCGGGAATACAGCTACAAACTGGTTAACAAGATACGCTGCGCTAGCACTGAGACCGACATTTTCCTTCTCGTCCAAGTCCTTTACAATATTTGGCGAGAGGTTTGCCAGAACAAAGGCTCCAAAATCTTCCATCTTGAGGTCAATTAGCTTTTGTCCACACTCGTTCAAGATCTAAAGTAATTAACATCGCGACACACGTGAGTTCAAGGTTCAAATTGTTATTAAAATGCTACAGACCTTTTGAATCATCACAGCAAGTGGCTTCAAAGGTCCCTGCAACAACAACAAGCAAACACAACAGCAGTAAGCACCTAAATAAGACCATCTCCATGTTCCTAAACTTGATCTTCACACCGGTTTGGCCATGTAGATCCCCGTCGAGATCTCTTCATCTTTCTCCAATGGAATACTAAAGAAGGATGCAACAAGGTCAATGCTCAAGTTCTGCAAGAACTGGGCGTTCAACTTGGGCACCGAAATGTACATGCCAATAAGTCCAAACACCTGCACAATCACAAAAGCTCTGAACATTTTCCATTTACTTGAAAAAATAGTCTCCTACACGCACTTACAATCGTGTCATGAGCTCCTCGATCCACGTACTTGTGCAGGTCCTTACGGTATCCGCTACCAAAGTTCAAGAGTCCATACAGTGCTACAATACATCACCACATCTTTTTCATATTGTGTCCACTACAGCACCATCTCAGCAGCGTCTAGAAGTCCATGAAACGCACTGAGAAAGTTAAGTTCGTCTTGCTGGGAGTGAAAGTTTAGTGGAAAGTTCATGGGCTCTGCAAGCCGCGCAAACTCCTGGATATCCAGCTCCTTGACAAACAAACGCACTTTTTCGGCATTTACATGCACAGAAGAAGTCTCGTGTGCGAGGAACGCGGCACACGAAGGTCGCACGCGCGCCAGCAGATCAGCAGATGAAGCCATTGCTACAAAATGTAGCCATAATCGATCTTGCGTAAGTGCGTTTTCGGTTAAGTTCGCATCCAATCACGTGTCCATCATAGTAAGTACCAGATAAAAAGACCTGTGTCTCCCCCCACTTGCGATGCTGGAAATCCGAGAGCTGCGACCGCTTTTAGCGATTCTTAATGTACGTATAATATCAAAAGTCGTCACTTGGATCGATTAGGGTCGAGATTCTCGTGGAAGCTCGTTGCTGTGGGAGATAGAAATACGGTTTAGAAATGTCGTTTCTAATTAGACAAACTACTAACGTCATGACGTTTCTATTTGGATTTCTATAGGAAGATGACAAGCCGCTGGAACAAGTAGCCAGTATGTTTCTACATACATTTACGAAAAATGATCACTTTAAAGTGGGCTGTACTATCTGTATCTTGTTGGAGGATAATTTACTCACAAGTTCACAGGTTTGTGGCACTCATTTCTAATTGATATGACAGTAAAGAGAGAGACTGACGTGTCCTGCTTGATTTTGTGCTTTACAGCGCATTGTAAGCTTTGCAATCTTGAGTGAAGTGTACCGGATTGAAGGCACTACGACGAATCCGTTTCTCCCGGTCTTTTTGGACGCATTGGAGAAGGGCAGCGACCTGTGCGAGAAGAAATTGATTGTTCATTTGCTGTCGGCTCTAGGCGCAAATCGCGATGTGCGTGCTACGACAACGACTTGAAGCTATTAACATGGATAAGGGTGTTGTGATTCTGACGCTGTACTTGGTCGTGAAAATGCTGCAGTCGAGCAAGAAATCGGTCAAGCAGTTGATGGCAGATTTTCGAAAAAATCCGGCACCAGCTCTTCAATTTGATATCGAGGCCATGCGAAAAAGCTATTTGGAACGCACACCACCAGTGCCACAGTTTCGTGCAGCAGGTATCCGAAACGTCGTGACAGACACGGAGTTTGATCTGCAGGAGCATGTGAACAATGGCGCCAATTTACAGGTACCTCCTAATGAAGTGAGTTCATTGAATTTGCCGTGCTTTGAAGCGCTGTCGCTGGAGGAAATGTGCTTGCTCGGTGATGCGGACGCAGTGAGTAGTACTAATACTGCATCACCGAACTCTGCTACTAGTGCATCGTCTTCAGGGTCATTGTCATTGCTAAGCTTTGAACCGACATTTTTACGTCTACCTCCACCAATTCTAGAACCAGATATGACCGAGTTAATTTGGTTAAATCCGGACTACTGCCCGACAGTGCTGTGGGACTCAACGATGCTGGACTCAACGCACGGAATTGCTTTGCGTGAGCTTATGCTTCGTGCATTTCAGAAACCATTAGTACCTTCGTTGCAGCAAAAAGTGCTCGCAGATCTTGAAGCGGATCCAAAGCTCGTCTATCATTGCTCGCTAACGCCACAGCGATTGCCAGATCTAGTGGAAAACAACCCGATGTTGGCCATCGACTGCCTCCTGAAACTCATGTCGTCCAACCAGATCACAGAATATCTGTCAGCGCTAGTGAACATGGATATGTCGCTACACTCGATGGAGGTCGTGAACCGCCTGACGACGGCAGTGGATTTGCCGACAGAGTTCATCCACCTGTACATTTCCAACTGCATATCGTCATGCGAGAATATCAAGGACAAGTATATGCAGAACCGGCTTGTACGCCTTGTGTGTGTTTTCCTGCAGTCGTTGATTCGCAACAAGATCATTAACGTGCAGGTACGTCAAGTGTTTGATTTTTTTAGATTCTTTGGCACGTGGTCTCTAACGGTGGTTTTGGTTACACCGACGTCCAGGACTTGATCATTGAAGTGCAAGCTTTTTGTATCGAGTTTAGTCGTATTCGCGAGGCAGCTGGGCTGTTTCGCTTACTAAAGACGCTGGAGTAATAGGCTCTTACCCCAGCAAATACAGAAAGTAAAGCTTTTGCAGCAGACAAACATGAAGAGAACAATCAAAATATGCGAAAGGCTGGTGCGGCACGTGGGCACTTGTAGCCTCTTTACCCACATCACTACAGCTTCCTGTTATCAAGGGTAGATTCAGCAGGGCTGTCATTGCGACTGATCTGGTAGGTTAGTTTCCTTGGTGTTTCTTGCAGGCTGGCAAACGTTTAGAAGAGTGGAATTCCAGCGCAAAAGCGCATCAAATCGCGCGTAAGAAGTCCTTCAATATCGTGGGAGTCGGCCTGAAGAACACAACGGCAAGAGTCGTTAATCAAATGAAGCACCACCGAAACTTGCTGAAGCTAGCTAGGCTCACCACGTCTTCCCACCGTTTCGTCATCGCGTTCCAATGGTATGTGCGCAAACCTGAGACCTGCCAAAAGAAAATGACTTGCAATGACCAGTCAGCACAAGGTTTCTAAGGTCCTGCACCTTTGCTAAGAGGCACAACTTGCCGGAGATAACAATTCAATCTGCTGCTTGGACGTCAGCACCTTAATCTTGAACTCCTGAGCATTCGTGCGAATTACAAGCTCGCCGCCATCTAAACCACGAGAACCATCACCATGTATTATTTGCAAAGTACAAATTGATCTGTAAGACCAGAAGACCACGCACTTCCATCACGTTGAAGCTGGAACTCGTCATTGATCGGCGGGTGAAGCGGCTTCATTGCAACTTCCACACGGTCGAAAAACTCCGTCGACAGTGCTGTGAACCTAATCATGTGTATCAATTACATTAGCATTGTTTGTGGCTATTGTCCCGTTCCCCGTGGCGTCTCACTTGTCTGTCGATACTTTCGGCTTCAGACGACCATGTCTTCCGGCACTTCCAGAGGTCGGAACCGTAATCTTCTCGCGCGTCTGTATCGACGTTAAGCGCCATATACTGCAGCATTCGTCGCAACATCACAAAAAACATCATTATCCATCGTATGGTCATATAAACGACCGAGCCACGAGTCAGTACCGCTTCATCCCCACTCTTGGCAGCATATTAGCAAATATAATTCAAGTACGTGTCAAGTACGCAGGATCTCACTTCAATTCATTATCAGATCGGATGGTTGGTTGGTAGTCGTGCTCTCAACTTGAGATCGTGTCTTCTCTTAAGAGTAAATAGATTGGGTTTTCTTCTCACGTAGTGAGAATCTCGAGAATCTTGAGCATACTCAGCAATGCGACGATAATAATGTGTCACAATCTCCATCATTGATACCATTCTTTTGGTCAGAGTTCAGTGGACGCTCGAGTTTTGTTGCTGTCGTTTCCTGGTCCTTCCGCTGCTTGGACATTCTTGATATTGAAGTTGCAACGGTTGTATTAGCACCATTCTCTCGCATCATCTTTCGTGCCTGACGAAGGAGATAGCCCTTGCGATTATGCTCCTTTCTCTCCGTGTTTGGGACTGATACTCCTTTGGAACAAGCTACAGTAGAAGTACACGTTATGATACAACTAAAGCAAAGCAAAGCAAAGCTCCATGGTCTGTACTCACCTGGCTGCTGTTTAAACACACAACTCTCTTTTGTCGTTTTGTAGCTAGTACCAGTCGTCCAATCCATTGAGCCGTGCACTCGTCCAAGATCACCATGAGAAAAACTGTGAAGACCGTCAACCACAGGCGTGTGGAACCGCTCGTCAAGTCTATGAAGAAGACTTGGTGCAGCTTTGGGTTTATCTTCTGTATCATCACTTTTGAGAATTGCCACTGGATACGGAGATAAGAAAGGTGAACCGCTGCGTAGTTCCTCCCATGTCGGTGGCAAGATTCTCGGTTCAGTTGACTCGAGCATTGCCATTCGATCAATCTTGTTTGTCCTGTGCTGCTCCGAAAGTGCTCCATCTACTATAACACTGGTAAGTGGGAAGCGATTATATCCGCACCACATCTCTGTAATGCCTTTGGTCTTGGAATCAGGACCAGGGTGCACTCGAACTAAACCAGAGGGCAACATCACTACGTGTGGGTAGAATGGGCTCCAAATGTCGGGGTTGACAATGCTGTCCGTTCTCGTATTGATACTAGCCGAAGCAGGTAAAGGTTTGAGTCCGTGCATGACGAAACCTACAGTCTCTGGTCGTGGCCACCGCACTTCTCCCGTGTAGTTGTGTAAATAGTAGATCAAATTCCGTTGTCGATCATGAAACAATTGCCATCCAAACGTGTCGTCTTCATTACGTCTATCATTGCTATAAACAAGATAAAGTGAGGAGGGCAATGAGGTAGTAAAGCGTCTACAAGTCAATTCAAGACTAGAACAACGTGGTTGCAACGGGTAAAAAGCTCGGCAAGTAGAACAATGAGCTTGAGCTTGTACGTACGTACCGAGGTATTGAGGAAACAGGTTCAAAATGTGCCATTTTTTGGTCTCTATGTGCGTGCGGCCTTTTCGGGTCCTGGTCCTTGGTATTTCTTATAAAGGCAACTCGCCGGTCTCAATGACGTCTCAAGGACAAAACGTAGCAAGTTGAAGTGCGAGGTCGAATACAAACCCAGAGATAGACAAGCTGATGACCACGAAAGGACGTAGAGACTTGAAAAAAAGGCAACTACATGCATTGAAAGAAGTATGAGATTGACGTAGGGGGTAAATGGTACAAGTGACGTGTCTGTGGATGCTACGGTAGTCACTGATGTACATTAAACTAGCAAGAAGATGCACAGCAACGTCATATTGACGCGTAGTCGTCCAGATACACCCCACTGTTGATATATCTACGAGTCTATTCTCGTGTATATGGTCCTAGACTTCTCTTTATACGTGACGTCGTAGTCTTTATCTATCTATCGATCTTATAAAGATCAAGGCCACGAGAGAGAGAGAGAGAACGTATCCTCATTACATTGTTACTGTAGCAATGGGATGTGCTTGTCTCGAGACCAAAGCGCCACGTACGTACGAGACAAGAATAACTAATCTCAAAAGATAACGGTCGAAGGCTTCTTTCGTAATCGAACAAGCTAGCTCCATTGACGTGTTTCGACCACAACACTTCTTCCTCGCTCGTGTCTACTCAAGAGTTATGACAAAAGTACAGGAGCGTCTTGCTGTACTCAGCTTGAATGTACGTGTCTCTAGCTAGAGCTCTTTATAAGGTCTATGAAAATGATCTAACGGTCGTCTAATTTTGCTTCATGTAGATCTTCTGTCGTCCTGAAGGTATTCACAGTGGTCAATGGCTCAAGACTGGCGACTATAAAGATCTACGGGTGGCACTACTTCTTCGAAAGATGGTCAACTTTGACGTGGTCATTCTTCAGGAGATGTTTGAAGCTGGTCCAAGACAGAAACACTTTGTACGCGACGCTCACGCCATGGGCTTTTGCTATCATTGTGGCTCCGTGTGGCCACGACTCTTGGACTCTCGTCTAATTGACGGAGGACTGCTGATTCTCAGTCGCTACCCGATTGTCGAGCGTGATCAACTTGCGTACTCACAGGGCTCTGGGAGCGACGGGATCTGTGCCAAAGGTGTCATCTACGCTCGTATCCAGCTATCACCGGACTTGTCCGATTCACTGCATGTGTTCACTACTCACACTCAGTCAGGCGACAATTACAAAGAGTACAACATTCGTCTTGCTCAGCTTCAGGAGATGCACCGATTCATTGCGAGAACAATCCGTAATGATTCTGGAGTGCCTATCCTCATCACGGGCGATTTCAATTTAGATGCACGTCATAATCTTGTCCATGACAAACAAACTGGAGCAGTGATATCAACGCGCTGTAAGGAGAGTGATGTATATCAGCAACTTGTAGCAGATTTTGAGCGTGTTGTACGTGAGGCGAGGATGAAAGTGGCAGGGGAGACGGGAAATGTTGCTGATGCGGACAGTACAGCAGGGTCGTTGATTATTGACCTCATGAAGCGATGTGATGCTACGAAACTAGGCGATGAGATTCACCCGATCACTAATGGTGATGGCCACTCTTTGCTCGTACACAAGGGGGACCCACTTTCACTTAAGAAAGATGGCAAGTGCATCGACTACATGTTTTTCTTCCCGGGTGTTAACGACGAGATGGCAAAGGCGGCATCGACGACGCCTAGCACCTTTACCAGCAGTGACAGTACCAAATGTAACGAAGTAAGCGACGAAGACCGCGACAGTTGTGAGTCTACAGTATCACCACGCTTTCAATTGACTCTAGTGGACAAGGGTACGACCGTGGACCATTGCTCCGTGAAAGAGCTTACGGATGACAGCAAGTCCGAGAAGAGTGACCCTCTTCGTCAACGTCAACAGCAGCTACCGATCACACATCTGTCCGACCACTACGGGTTGCGAGCCTTGTTTTCCTTGGAGATCACAAGCGTGAAGCATCCAAATGGTCGACTAATTGGGAGAAGTGAGTCGCTCTCGTCAGTTTTGCAGCTTTACTTTCCACAGCAAGCCTTTGTACAACGACCTCAACGTCTTTGGAAGTGGAAGCTTGCATTCGCGCTGCTCTCAATTGTTACTGCTGCAGGAGGTGTCACTTTCGCTGTCGTAGACACCATGCTGAAGGTTGTATTTAGCTAAGACGGACGGTATAAGCTACCGAAAGCTCCGTACTTGGTAGTACTACACATGCTAGCTACCAGTACTTGGGGGACGACACCATGAGAAAGCAGAATATTATCATCTATAATTTTTCGTTATAAATGACTTACCACACCGATATGCGTTCTAGCTCTAGCATCGATCGCGTTGGCGGCAACAAGCCTCTATTGCCAGGTGGTCTCAATTGTGTCGACAGTGCAGTTCCAACGACCATAGTCTTTTCAAGAGCTAAAGGACTTCTCAAAGTACGCAATCAGATGCTGAGCAACAGCGAACGAGAACACAAGCTTGGGGCCGACCACAGAAAGCTTGGGGATCAGACCCTTGAACAAACCACCTGGACCTTCCGCCTTGAGCAGGTTGCGCACAATTGTCATGCCACTTTCTGGCGAGTCAAATGGGCGCGACTGAATCCGTGTTTTGACCACATCCAGCGGCTGTGCCACTGCAATTCCGTCACGTGACATCACAAAAACTCATTGTCAGCAACAGATACTTCCTCAAACCACTTCTAGCACAGACCACAAAGACGTACCGATGATACTAGCCGAGGCACCCAAGATAGAAGCTACAAAGTTCTGGAAGAATGTAGCATTGTTGTAGTTTTCCAGCTGAAACAGGTACTCTTTCGCAAGAGCTGATCCACCAAATAGTGCAAATGAGCCGGGCGCATTACGTGCAGCGGTCCAGGCAGCACCACGATACAGTGCAAAGCCCTCTGTCTTGAAAATATGAGCCACGCCCTTACCGGCAATAGCCGCCGGGTTAGTTTGTGCACGGATTTTAAGCACATCCAGTGGCAGCAAAGCAATCTCGCCTACGCCAATAAGACTGCCAGCTGCGGCATGCATCATGGTCTTGGCATTACGCTCACCAAATGTATGCTCAAAGAAATTAGCGTGGTTCTTAAACATGTAGTCTTTAACCACAGGCTGGCCACCAAACTTGTAGATACGTTGAGAGACCTTATAACCAGCAGCAAAGCCCAACCCTGGAAATAGGGAACGGTAGCGCGTAAACACCGGCTTCTCATAAGCATCACGAAAGATCACTTGATTAAGACCAGAGAGACCGTGCATCTACAATAAGATCAAAGGACAAACATTAGCTACTTTTTTTATGTCTAAATTGAATGCGAAAGGAAGGAAAATGGAAGAGGACGCACAGGCTCTTTATGGGTCATAAGACGTTTGGCAATTGTGTCGACGGGATGAAAGATCATGAGCTCGCATAGACCTGAACATGTAGAGCCAAGAAGACGTGCTGCGACGACAGAGGAAGTACTGCTTTTGTTCTCACTTGAAAGTGCGACCATTATTGATTGTTATATGCACCTGTTGAAACTAAGAGTGATGGTCTTTCGTAGGGGAACGAGAAAAAAGCAAGAATGGTGGTGACCAGTGCTTACGTTTTGACGTGACACGCCGTCGTATACATAGGTTGTACACAGGTTGAAGTTAAAAATGTCACACATTTACGTCGGATGACGTAATCATGACAATAGTGACTGGAGCACAAACGTCGGATTAGGGATTTGCTGCCAGTTTGTATGGATAGAAGTTAAGGCCTTTTTAGATACACTTTACATTACCGTAGGCTTTTGTTCTATAGTCACGACTATCACTTATGGTTTTTTGTTAGTATAACAGCTTGATTACCTTAATTAGAGCTCGTGCTTTTTGCATGGGCACTGCTCGAAGTGATTAAATTTGCTTTGTAACATCCGTCTTTTGCAATTTAACTTGAAATATGCTGCACTTTAACTATTCCGATTGATAGCTTTAGCTGTTGCGATTGCATATTATCATCCATGTATCATTTCATGTGACGAGCAGCTCCGTCGATCTGTTCGTATTGCTTTAGCCGTGCCATGGTCTTCTCATGCAATCTTTGCTGCATTTCTTCCACCTCTGACACGTCCGACCGGTTTGAAAGAGCCTCTGCAAGTTCTTGTTGTTTATCGCGTTTGTAAGCTTCCAATTGTTCTCGGTTGTCATAACGTGGCACAGACGAAATGCACTTATAGGCTTGCTCTGCCAGTAGCACGATATCCTTGCCATCAATTACCACTCGAAGTTCCTCGAGACCCTGTCCAAACGTCAATATCGCGCGTTGTAAACGCACAATCGATAAGTGTCGGCATTAGATGATGTATCTCTTATTCACGCACCCTCAAAGCTTTTCGCGACGAAATAGGACCTTGCAGACAGATTCCTGTATCTGGATCAAAGAATGCAGCATGAGCTTTGCAGTGGATAAAGCCTTCGCAGAAGAAATCGCTGTCGTCAAAGTCCAGCTCCAATAGTGCGTGTGGACACCTGTCAATAGGCGAATTATGTGTCAGCAGAGTCAGGCTTCCATTCATTTCTCTACCGTAACAACCTATTGATGAAGGCGCGGGGCTGTTGTGTCTTCTCATTGAAAAACACGAAACCAGTTGTCAGTAATTCTCGACGCTGACGAGGCTTTGATGTCGTCTTTACGTCAGATGTTTGCATCGCTTGTTTCGGTTTTGGAGAGTGTATAGGAAACTTGAGTCCTTTACCTTGAAGGGCTTGCAACTCCTGCAGCGAACATAACACACGACGTCCTGCCGACACAGTCGAGAAACTTTGGCGCAAGAGCATGCTTGATGTGTGGTTGGAAAGCGACGATCACTATTGGTAGAGATTGGCTTTATGAACGACTACCGAAAGCACTAACTTGTCACTTACGGATATGAAGAAACATGTCGTATGTGAATAAATGATATTGCATATGGATCATAGTCAACCTACTCAGGCTAGCACTGTCACTGTACGAGGGCTATCGGATGCAGAGGCATTTTCTCCAGTCTTGACGGAAAAGATGGGGGTAGGTACGCGCTGGTGCATCGATATCTGCTGCGCATAGGCAAAGTACGTTATTACGTGGGTCTTGTACTCGTTCACGGCACGCAGTACCATGGATTCAGGTACGGTGTCCACCCAAGTAGGTGGTTGGTTTGCACGCGGTCGACGCTTGGTTATCTGCAAGTAGCGCGTGATAATTTCCATTAATGGGGTGTCAAAGGCGTTCCAGCTGGCAATGTCCCCGATTCGCACAAGACCAGGAATGTCGAAAAGCCGAGAAGCCTTCGAACCCATAAGAACCTCATCCGATTTGGCCCCGAGCACTAGGCGGTTGCCCGAAAATGTCAGATACAGCAAGATGTGGTAAAAGCAATACCGAACGTCGCGATTCCAATGAACAAAAAGCCGCTTCAGGTGCAATGCAAACAAGTCCATCAGCTGCAGTTGCAACGAAACTGAAAGGCCCATGAAGTTTCTCAGTATAAACAGCTCTGTTGCCTTCAAGATCTCAAAGTGCTCTGAATCCAGGAGGCTCGAAAATACGTAGCGTAGTGTCACCACATCGGCACACAAGTGTCTCTGTTGAGGTTGATTCTGCGGGATCGAGGTGTCCATGGTCGCGATAGTTTGTGCTGCAGGCTCGCTGGCGAAAAAAAGTGGAAATTCCAGCATTAGTTTCTCCATGTACTGCAAACACAAAGTGACGTGATGTGGCAACATGTAGTTGGTGGATCGAAGAATTGCCATCAAATACTCGTGAATAAATCCTTCGTTTTCGTTCATCATTGACGTCACCTGGGCAGCGAAGTAGGCCGTCGGCGTATTGATTTCCTCTAAACCTCCATCCATCAAAGAGAATGAATCGCGGAAAGGTAAAACGTCCTTCTCGCGAGCCGAAGCAGTTTTGTTGACAACTTTCTCCTCCGCATCGTCTTGCCATTTGGGTTCCCGTTGCTGCAGTTCCGTGTGAAAGAGACTCTTAGTAATCTCTAACGTCGCTTCCTTGAACACTTCGGCGCCAGGGAGACTCATCCAATCAGTACGTCCCAAAACCTGCTGCCCTATGAGTTGCTCGAAAATTTGCGCGAGAACTAGCATACAGCCGTCCGAGTCAACCATCAGCTGGTTCAACATTTGCGCTGCAGGAGCCCAACATTCTTCACGATTCACAATTGTCAGAAGATTCTGGCACTGCGGGTACATGCTGTGGTGCCAGTTGAACGGCGTCAAACGCAGCTTCTCTTCAAACATGGACCTGCCGCGTCCACGAGAATTACCAGATGAGAGTGAAGCCGAGTTGGTACTGTTGCCCGCCGATGATGGTAGCATGTTGCTCAGGTTGTCAAGTATACGGCTGCGCAGTCGCGGTACACGCATATAAGATGTAGCAACGAGCGCGGATAAAAGCTCCTGGTGCTGGTCGAACGGGTCATATTCCGTGTTGCTTCCACTGCAGTCCATAGGGCCGTGTACCGTCCCAAATGCATACTGCAGCGTCGACAGATGCAGCTCCAAGAACCGATGCACCGAGTCACAAAGCCTGACATTGCGGTCCTGTCCTCGTTTATCTTTCCTTGATTGACGCATTGAAGTCACGTATTGCATAGACCTGTTGCCACTATTGACAATCGCGGAGCCATGACGCGACCGACGCGAGTTGCGAGACAAACGACTCGTCAGTCGAATCATGCCCTCTGTAGGCGTGTGATACTTGCACCCACCGTGGCTTACCGCAACAAGAAGAGCATCAAACTCTTGTCTCCTGATCACCAGCACCAGCAGCGTTAAAGTTGCCTGCTCGAGCTGACGTCGCTTCTCGTTCGCAGCTGCAATGGCTACATCCTTTGACTGAGCTATCGTATGTCTTAGCGATGGCTCGGGGGTTGCACCGTCCACGAGCATCTCGAGTATCTGCATACAGCACTTCCAGAGCTGCAGCATGGCTTTGGCTGCTGTTTCTAAAGGCACTGGCTTAGCTGAGCGTCTTCCGATCGTTGTGGGAAGACCGTCCGCGTCTTCCTCCGTAAGAATAACAACAAGCTTGTCTAAAGTCTTGGTGCTGAAAACTCCTCTTGAACGAATGCTGCCTCTGGAGATGGAAGGATCGCGTCCCTTGCAGCTTGCTCGCATCTGACTACCCGTCGTAAGTGCCAACGTCTGCTCTTCCAACGCCCGCATTTGGCGGAAGAAGGCAGGCGGCATCATCACCGTGTGCGGGATGCCGTTGCCGTCGCTCTTGAGCGTGAAGATACGCACGACCATGGCTCTACGAAACCCGCTACTACTGCGTGAAGTGGATGATGCCGTGGAGCAAGTAGATGAAGTGTTGGTCAATGATAACGCTATAGAGCCACGTTGGCCTACGGCGGGCGCATCGTCCGCTTTGCTGTGGTGATGAAAAGGACGCAATAATCGTGCTACAACTCGCGAGACTCTACCATGGGTCATTCTATCACTCGTTTTGGGTATTGCTGCTGAAGTCTGAGCCCTAGAGCGCAAAATCTATAATGAGGACAGACTGGTAAAAGTTCGGTGGACAACACCACTGCATCGCAGTAACAGTTACACATAAGACCTTCACTCTTGTACTTCAACCAAGTTCAGCGTGACGATCGCAAAATCGGTACATGTTTTAATAATGATAAAGAAAGTATTCAAGAAATTACAAAGTTAGCCTTTAAGAATATGATTATTGCAACTTATAAGATGTAAGTTTGGGAATCACTAGTGCATGGAGTAATCACAATGGCCCGTTTACGCGCTACAATCGGCAAGATCGGCTGAAATATCGGTAGCCTCTACGCTGATGTTTAGCTTGAACCTGTCCTAGGACACCGACGCTAACTTAATACTGAATTCAGGCAGCGCCCAAAGAGATACATTTTGCCAAGAGCGCAAATTACAAGAATCTCGTGGTGAGATACGACTTGAAGTGAACGAAGCAAGTGAGTTCAGCTGAAAATATCTCAAGCATTCCCTCTGATGATGATATATCAAGCATGCATGCTAGTTAAGACATATGATATCAGCCATGTGACAATGGGATGGGTGCACTCCTCCCCGTACATCGTTAGACGCATAAAGCCTGGATTTTTTGTCTCGCAGCGCTGTCGTTATTCGACCAACCTTATACTTAACCTCTGCAACTTGGTGCACTTGTCCAATCAGAGTTTATGAACGATCTCACATGTCTCTTACATAGAAATGATTTCACACCCGCGACTAATGTCAAGATGTGCACACCCTATACATGAAAAAATTATGTGTTTTTCATGTATGACGTCATACGTATACAACTTTGACTGCTATGTTCTATAATGTTTACTAGCAATAAAACTTAAAAGGTTGTAAAGTTCGCACAGTCGGTTTTTCTAAGTTCGCATCCCACATGTCAGCCGTCGTGGATGCCGTCTTTGGTTCCTACGACGTTAAGAATGCCAAACAATGGCGTAATGAGGATCTACTATACCGTGAACAACAAAAACAATGGCGAGAAGATATTATTCATCAAGAAACCGAGTGGCGTTGCGCTGATTTGAAACGCGAGAGACGCGTGACGAAACTCGAGTCGGAAAAACGACTGGTTGATGCTCATTTCCAACAGCTCCAGACGCTTTCTCAATTGTCCGCTATCTTGGCCTTTTTCTCTATTATGTTTATACAAGAGATTAAATCATTGCATCAAGATACAACACAATCTCTTGTCATTCTTTATGGGACAGTTGCATGTCTTGAATTCTTGTGTATGCTGTTGTGTACCTTGACGTGTACATTGCTGCTATTGGCAGTGACGAGGTTTGTCACACATACATTAGATGGAGAAGTACGTCGACTATCGGATGAAGAATTGGATACGGTATCACCGTTTCTTGACTGGTGGATTAGCAAGTGTGAACACGAGTGGCTATTGGCGTATCAATTATTTCGAATAGGGGCGTCCTTCTTCTTGGTAGCAATCGCGTTGACTAGCTGGATTGTATTTGTCAGATCTATTCTTGCTGCTTGTGTCGTCTCGGTCATCTCGCTGTGTGGATTACTGTACTATAATCTATGGACAGCCAGTAGATGGAGATATCTGGTCAAACCATCCAAAAACAATAGGGTACCATTGCCGTGACGACGCAGTCAGTATGTGATCGGGTGCTTCATTAACACCATCGTGACTAACGTGGCATTCTCTTTGGGTTGATGAACTAATTGACGCTCCAATATCAATAGAAAGTGTGCATCTCTTGCTTATTACTTCTACTTCAGCTTGCACGGCTTTGGGCCGCAGGTGTGGGCGCGTGCACCGCAATTCCGTGCCAGGAACAGTGTGCTACCAAAGAGTGAACCCGCTGTGATTGAGCAGTCTGCGATGGGGCCTGTAACCACCACGGGATGCAGCGAATGCCGAAGTGTGTAGAACGCAAAGCCACCCTGACGGCATTTGAGCGAAGCAAGGGGGTGCGTCGGGGGCAAGGCCTCTACCCGCACAGAGATCGTGCCAGTGCTGGCATCGATATAAGTCATCTGGCGTAATTGCAGCGCCTGTTTCAGATCTGCTGCTACCTTGGCAATCTGCTGCTTCAAAGGATTGTTTGCTCTAAGCAAGTGCTCCAAAAGGTAATCGTAGCTCCAGTCACCAACCTCGTCTTGGCTGCCTGCCACCGTGGCGCTCGCCTCCCATGGGCTTTCAATGCTGACGTCTTTCATTTCGATGTCGTAGCCCATCTCACGAGCAATCAAGATTGCCTTCTTGGCGCTACGCACGCCCATTACGTCGTCCACGATATCGCGCACGCTGAACTCGTTCTTGTACTGTGTCATAACATCCCTCATGATGGCTTCTAGGTTAGCCTTAGCTGGGTCGGGTAACACGAACACGGCGTCAAACACAGCGTGCAAAAAGCGGCTTCCTGTGTACTCTACGCGCTGAATGTCATCGCCCGTCTGTATGAAGTTCTGAATCGTGTTGAAAATGGGGACACCCATGGCTAGCGTAGCCTCGGGGTCGTAGGTTAGCTCGTTTTCAATCGCCATCTTCTGCAGGGCGTTGTGCTGCTCCGTCGTGGATGAAGAAACATTGATGTTGGAAGTTATGACGTGCACCTTGCGTGTTAGCCACTGCGGGTACAAGTCCTTGACGTGGTGGAAGCTGTTGGAAACATCGACAATAAGCCAGTGGGGGAGATGGTCTGCACACACATGGTTCAAAAATTTGTTCCGATCAAAAGGCACGAACTCGTTCTTTCGGGTTGCTAAGGCCTCTTCAGTGATGTCACCTTCGACGTCCAGTAGCATTTGCGACGATACGTGTGTGCCGATAGCACGAACACGGATATCTACGTTGAAGCGTTGCTTTAAAAAATCGCGCTGTTGGTGGTACTGCCTCAGCAGTGCTACACCAATGCTTTTAGTCTCGTCTTCGTCGAACTCGAGTCCCGTCAGACCGATGGAAAGAGTTTGGTCCGACAGGAAAAACGACGAGTGCACGGAACGCAGAGCAGCAGCTGAATCCTGGTAATGCACAACGGCTGAAATATTGCGCTCCGACGATCCCTGTGAGATTGCCAGCACGTTAATCTTGGCGCGACCGAGCGCACTGAAGAAACGGGCGCATACACCAGGAGTCTGATTCATCTGGTCACCCACGGCAGCAATGATACTAATGGGCGCAATGTACTCGGCTTTATCGATGTGTCCTACGTGGATCTCTTTGAAGAAAGTCTCGTTAATAACGTCCTTCGCCACCTCAGCGCAGTCCATGGGCACCGCGAAACAGATCGAGTGCTCTGAACTAGCCTGTGCAATGAGCACAACGTTCACTTTCACGCGGTCCAGCGCGCTAAATAACCGTGACGACGTACCGTGTACGCCAACCATACCGCTCCCTTCAATGTTAAACAGTGCCAAGTCATCCACAGTGGAAAACCCGCTCACAATGTTACGTGCTGTAGGGGCGCCATTCGACATGGAGCGCTTAAACTCCACCTTCTTACGATGTGAAATCTTTGTGCCAGGGTGTTGTGGGTCAAACGTATTCCGAATGTAAATGGGGATATCCTCGACAATGGCAGGTGTCATGGTCTTCGGGTGAATGACCTTGGCACCAAAGTAGGCCAGTTCCATGGCCTCCTGGTACGATATCTCGGGCAAAATTCGCGACTCGGGCACACGACGGGGGTCTGCACTCAGTACACCGCTTACATCTGTCCAAATGGTGACACTGCTGGCGTGCAGTACACGACCACAGATCGAAGCTGTAAAGTCACTACCGTCGCGCTTGAGCGTTGTCATAACACCCTCGACTGTACTGCAGATGAAACCCGTGACGACGAGGTGCGTGAGTTCCTCATTCTCTCCGTTGTTGACAATTTCCTGCATCTTTTGCATCGACAGGTCGTACTGTACCATGGGTCCGTGCTCAGTATCCGGCTCGACTGTCAAGAAATCACGGGCATCGACGAAGGAAAAGTGGTGCTTCTTGCCGTCCTGCTGAGCCTTCTCATTCAGCACAGCAGTAAGGACTTTAGCCGACCAGACTTCACCGTGGCCAGAGATAAATTCCATCACGTTTTCGTTATAAGTCTGCATGATGGAGATGGAGCGCAGTAGCTCTGAAACGGACTGCAAATCACGTTCAATGGCTTTCACAATGGGTTCTCCTACTTCTGGGGGCAGTAGTGCACTCAGTACATCATGATGTTTCTTGCGAATTGTGGCTAGAATCTCGTTACACTCAATGGTTTGGCGTTGTTTGGCCAATTCAAGGAGCGAAATGAGCAGATCCGTGACCTTTGGCTTACCACCGATAGCCGACACTACCACTGCCACACGTGGAGCCTCCAATGCCGAGACAATGGTTGCTACTTTAATAAAGCATTCAGCACTGCCTACGGAGGTACCACCGAATTTATGCACTACGAATTGGTCGGTCATTGTCACGTACGTGTGTGTCACTTGGAGGTCTTGTAGCTGAATGACTGGGCTGGAGGACTCGGAGTTCATCAGGACCAGAAAAAATAGACTTGGATTCAGTATGAGTATCGTCGTGGTGCTTGGACAGTGCAGCGTATACGGAAATACGTGGAGCCACAAGAAAAAGCATGCAGACGTGAGACGTTACATGGAACGAGGCGTAGAGCTTTTGCTAGATGGACATTATCCACTAAATCAACATTTGGCTTAGTCGCTATGAGCATTGATGACAATAGTGTAAGCTATATCAGTCTCTTTATGGGATTAAAGACGGCGACACGTTGGTCGGTCTCTTTGTTGTGGGTGATCCAGATGCCTGTGGTTCCGGGAATCGTACGAGATATCTCCATTGACTAGCCACATGCAACTCCAAGTAGGCAAGTGTCAATATACACAACACTGTCATACAAGATGCAGCAGCTACCCATTCACCAAAAACCGCCCACCCAAGCAGTGCTACCTGTGCAAGGAACAAACACAACCCGATTCGAAAAAGGTAATAGGCCATGATCCATTCTTGCTCACATTTGCTGAGCCACCAATCATAGAATGGTGACATGACGTCTAATTCTAAGGATGATAATGCATGGACTTCTCCTTCCAATGTGTGTGTCACAAACCGCGTAAGAGCCAGTAGTAGTGCCATGCATGTCAACATGCACATTAACATGACTATAAACTATATAGCAAAAGAGCAAGACAAACAGTAGCAATGTCAGTCCATAGAACTGCATTAATTTTACTCTCCCAAGACCTCATCAAGTGTCTCAATGTTCTCGTACCTCGAAACAACATACGGCCCCGTATACAGTCGTAACTGCATGACTTGTCCCGTCTGCTATCTGTACTTCAACAATGGTGGACATGGTAAAACCTGCAAGAAGTGCCGACATTTGTGACACGGTCACGAGCTGTCGATGACGCGCGTCGATGATGCGCTTTTCATTCTCGAGCTTCACAACGCGTCGTTCACGTTCTAAATCAGCACGACGCCATTCATATTCACGCTGGATCGAATCTTCTCGCCATTGTTTCTCTTGTTCTCGATGTAAAAGGTCCTCATTCCGCCATTGTTTCGCGTTCTTGACGTCGTACGAACCAAAGACGGCGTCCACGACAGCACCGACGGCGGCCATGCTCCGGAAAGTAGTCATAACAATCCCTCGCGACTGTGACGTAGCTGTTATTGGCTGAAACTAGTTATATATTTTATCCAATCATTATAATGCATAAGTGTAAAAGCAGAGACGGTTCTCAGATATCTGAGTTGCTACTTCAACATGATGATTAGCATACACCGCTTCCCGTCTAGCAACCCCTTGGAAAACTCTAAGAACCAATTCAAATCCTTGTGAAAATCTATTTATTTTCTATCTTCAATACAAAATGAATCTTTTAAAACTTTATTTTCATCTCACAAGGACAAGCAAGTATCAGTCACTTCTTTATACAAACTTCAAGATACTACGAACCAGGCCCGACCCAAGACGAACCGACCAAGTACCAGCCAGACCCGTCCGTAGAAGAAGAAGAAGAAGGGGGAGAGATCGTTCCATTTCACTTCATTTCTAGCCACGATCAAGTGACAGAAAATGGCCAAGAAACGTCGTGTCGTCACGAAAATCACGTCACCCATGAGCTCCTCCTCACCCTTTTCATCGCCTGTAGTGACAACACCCAATCGATCACGTCGCTTCAACGTGTCACATGTTCAAACAATACGATCGGGTGTTGCTGCTAGCACGCGTTCGCAATTGACTGTGTCTCAATTACCAGTACTCTCACCACCTTTAAAGAAACGGATGACGTCGCGTCGTCACTCGAAACCCATGAAACTTCAGCTACCAGATGAACATTATGACGGACAAGAAGATGAGAATGATGGTCAATTCACAGGTTGTTGTACTTACAATAGTGACACTGCAACAGAAGACGGAGAAGAAAAAGTGCACTTGATCAAGCCAGATCCTTATCTACCCGAGACGTATCAATGTCAAGCTACTGTTTTAAGACATGGAGGAAGTTATTATGATGCAATGCTTACAAAAGTAAGCTCTTTGTATAGAGATTTTGTATGACAGTACAGGACCATTGCATAAGAGACTTATCTATCTATTGTGTATGTGTGTCTTGCACTGCATTACAATGCAGGCACGCGTCCACACTAATCACAGCGAATTTATCGCGTTGCAAGCACTCGAGTATGAAAAGCAGTTTTATCTTTGGACAAGAGCAGGACGTGTAGGATGTGCAGGCAAAACGACATTTTCAGGCCCATTTTCAAGTATTGCCAAGGTCACTTTTGAGTTTCGGACCTTGTTCACGTCACATACGAAGTGTGAATGGGAGGAACGTCATACAATGCTCCGATATCAGGAAGGCAGCTATACGTGGATTGAACTGGATTATTCTACTGGTACGCCATACTCTGAGTCTCTTACGAGTGCACTCACGGACAATCAGGGAGAAATGGACAATGCAGACAATTTCCGAGACTTTGATCTTGTGCCGACATCACCGTCACCGCTTCCAGTAGTTTCGTCTACTACTCGCAAACGTCGACGAGCTGCTACAAGGATGACTTATGCCTCAGCTACGTCAACGACTACCGCAACAACGACGACAAGTGTACGGCGGTCTCTGAGCACCCAATTTGACTGGCTGTATGCAAACTCGGATGGCGATATTGCTTGTGCAGCTTCTTCTGAGACATCTTCTTGTGCATGTGCTACTGCACCGCCGTCGCGTTTACCAACCGCGGTGCAGGACTTTTTGACACTTATTGCTGATCATGCCGAGCTGTCGTACGCTTACACAGTCACAGACGACCTATCGGGTGACGCTATCATGAAGCTACCGCTTGGACGACTGTCCAAAGCAACAATCAAGCGCGTAAGATTTGTCGTTGCCTTGCATTTTCGTTGGTGCAGTTGTGCTTACGTGTTTGCTGCATTGTTGACAGGGATATGAGACTTTGGAGGAAATCTACGAAGCACTGCGCAGCAGGCAGGTGTCTCGAGCAAAGCTGACAAATCTGAGTAGCCACTTCTACTCACTTATTCCGCATCACTCGCGTCTCGAGGTTATTGATACAATGGTGAAAGTTGGCAAGAAGGTCCAGCTGATGACTGAAGTCGGTGTTAGCGTGCGTGGAATGGCCCATGAGCCGGTGGCTCGACAGTGTAGTTTAAGAAACTACTTGGATGAGTGTTACAATTTGTTAGAATGCGAACTACAACCTGTGAAGAGCACGGATCCCGATTTCGCACTAATTCAGACGTACATTCGCAACTCGAACTGCTGTGGCCGAAAACAAGACCGGCTGCAGCTGCTTTCAGTCTTTCGCGTTGAGAAGCCCGAGCAAGAGACGCGCTTTGAGCCTTTTCGCAAATTTGCCAATCGACGGGTAAGGTAACTAGTGCTTTTGTGTTGGTCTATGAGATTGATAAGTTATCGTTTGTGTTATTTCGACCGGTGGTGCTGGCCTCTGTCGTATCTTTGCTTCGTTGCTATAGATTCTGTGGCACGGCAGCCACTTGGCAAACTGGTTGGGCATCTTGTCGGAAGGGCTGCGAATTGCGCCGCCGGAAGTAGCATCGAATGGACGAACCTTTGGCAAAGGTCTATACTTTACAGACAAGGTGACAAAAGCGCAGGCATACTGCCATTGCCGACCTACAAATGGGTACAATCAATGCGTGTTTGCTTTGAGCGAAGTAGCGTTGGGTAAGAGCAAGGAGATGCTGAACTCGGACGACAATGCGAAACAGTTTGTACACATAGGAGCAGGTGGACGTGCCCAAGGAGCGTACTACCATAGCTGCAAAGGTGTTGGATCATGCCGCCCTGACTCCACCGGTGAAGTCGTGGACATTTATGGTGCCGTTTGGCCTGTTGGCAAACCAGTTCAGCCCGAAGAGCGTACGGGACTACATCACAGCGAGTATATCATTTACAATCTGAACCAGACACGGATGCGCTACGTCGTGCTGGCTAGAAGCCCTTATTAGCTGCGAACACCACCAAACGAACGGAGCGTACGGATGCGTGTGCTTAGAGTTCGGCCGTTGCCTTTTTTGGCTGGGATAACGCAGACTTGGACATTTCGAGCTGCTTCCAAAAGAGCCCACGGTGCGATGTGTGATGCTGTTTAGCTTTACGTAAATACATTAGTGCGTGTGCAAACGTAATGGCATGCCTTCTGCCGTTCCACTATCATGACGTGAGATGGCAAGCTGCAACTATCGTGATAAAGTCATTACATTTACAGCTAAACGAACGGTCATCCTTCGTTGCTGCTGTAGCAATGACTCACTCTTACTGTAACTTCTTGGCACGCTCTGTGATAGCATTCAGACGCTCAACTAGAGGCGGGTGGCTGTAGTGGTACGCACTGTACAGCACATCAGGGTTCATGTTGGACAAGTTCTCGATTGCGAGCTTGGTGAGTCCCGACTTGAGAGCAACATCATGGCCGAGGTCCACGGCAAACGCATCTGCCTGGAACTCGTTTCTGCGCGTGTTCAGAGTGATCAAAAACGACAGCACGTGCTCGATCGGAGCCCACATGGTCTGTGAAAAGAGCAGAAAGCCGATGATAACAGGCTTAGCCGAGTCCCCTACAAACCCGAAACTTGCAAACAGTTCGGCATCATTCATGCAGAGGCCAAACATATAGAACGAGGCCAGAATGTAAACCTGCTGGATCACAAAGCTTTGTGCAGTGTGCGAAAGCTGCCAATGTCCAAGCTCATGGCCTAAAATGGCAACAATCTCATCGTATGTCGCTTGCTTCAAGAGAGTGTCAAAGAGCACAATCCTCTTACTCTTAAATAGTCCAAAGAAGTAGGCATTACTATGACTCGAGCGTTTAGATCCATCCGTGACAAAAAGCTTGGTCAATGGAAAATGAAGACTTGCTGCCAGCGCTTCGATGCGCGTGCGAAGTTCACCTTCTTCCAATGGTGTAAATTTGTTGAATAGCGGCATAATCAGCACTGGATAGAGCGTCATCATGACCACAGAAAAGACAAAGAGGAAGAACCAGACGTACATGTAAAAGTACTCTCCTCCCCATCGAATAACATAAATCAATACTGCAGTCACTGGAAATCCAATGGCAATAAAGAGACCAATTGATTTGATCTTGTCCATGATAAAGAGTCCCAAAGTCTGTTTATTGAACCCATGACGAGCTTCTACGACAAATGTCGAGTAGAGATCAAAAGGGACACCCACGATCGTATCTCGAATCGTCGTAAGTACCAGTAGCATTAAAGCTCGATAAATCTCATTATCAGCGTCTAAATGTAAAGACTTTAGGACGTGACCACTAAGAGTCCACATAAAGGGCAAATAGCCCAATAATAGAAAAATTGTGGCCTCCAATTGGTTGTAAGCACCACTTACAAGCCCAAATGTGCTCTTATCCAGTCCATAAGCACGACTCTTGTCAAATTTAGCCTTAGTAGCAGCTAACAATGTCGTTTCTGCTTCTGATTCCTTGTCTGATTCTGATTCCGTTGTTTTAACGTTATAACTCCCAAGCCCTTGAATTGCATCTTCGAGAGGTTTTGGAAACTGTCTTTCATGCAATTTACGGTGTTGACGAAGGTCCAAATACGTGTTAAACATGTAGACGAGGGTCATGAACACTAAAGCACATTGGAAATAAGGGACGCTACTCGTACTAGGTCTCCAATTAGGCTCAGTATAGTATGGCGCCTGCCACCACGACAAGTCTTTCATGACGTGGCGAAATGGATATTATCAAAATGGATACAATGGATACTTAGTATAAACACAATTGGGTAAATAAAATCTTTATGTACCCTTTTTGCATATAAAAGAACCCAATTTGGCCTATCAATTTTTAGTCCACATGGCGGGTCAATGGCGTGCGTTTCCACTGGTTTATGCGTCTTGTAGCGACTCTAACGTGACGTTACAGGTCTCATCCGATGCGCGAGACGCTCTTCTTTCTATGTGTACTAAACACATTGGCATTTTGGGCGTATTTGGCCCTCCAGCAAGTGAAACACGGCTGTTACTCCGTACTCTGCTACAATCTCAAGATGTTGACATTAGTACTGCTTCCAAGAGCAGAAATGACGTCTTGTTATGGCTATATATAAGTCAAGATCAAGTACAAGAAAATGGTGATAAAGTTCGTGTCGTTCTGGTCGCTGGAGCGTCACTTGAAGCTGAAGAACTAGAGAATCAGAAGCTGGCACTAATGCTGCTTCTCTCTTCTGTTCTTCTTTACAATACTGAAGGAGAGATAAATGCCGAGTCAGTGGAGAAGCTACAGTGGGTGGAGAAAGTGTCTCGAGTTCTGAGAGTCAAGGAAATGCAAGACGAAGACGCTGTCGGTGAGATTTTCAATTTGTAGGCACTAAGCGACCTCAATGCCTATGAGATGAATCAAATGTAGCTGATTTATTACTATGTTGATGTACTTTATAGCAAGTGAGTTCTCATATCATGCACCAAAGTTTATTTGGCTGGCCAGAAACTTCAAGATGAAGTGGCTTAAAGACGCAGAAGGACAAAAGTTGAAGCCGATGCAGTACTTCGAGCAACATTTGGCTCCAGAAAAAGGTTATGGAGAAGCTGCTACGTATAGAAACATGTTACGCATGTACATGGAGACGTACTTTCCAGTGAGAGATTGTGTGACGTTAAGTCGTGCGGTGGAAGGTAATGGGACGGAAAGTATAGCACCTGAGACGAATCGAAGTGAACTGCGTGCGCAATTTGTCGAGGCACTAGATAACTTGTATGGAGATTATTTGTCGAGCAATGAGCAACATCTGCCGTCAAAAAAGCTGATGGACTACAAGCTGCGCTCGGATCAGTTTGTAAAGGTGCTCGACGCATACGTGGATGCAATAAACGCAAGGCAGCTTCCGACGATGCAGAAGGTTTTAAACACGCTGCTGGAGCAGGAGGTTGCTGAGACTTTTGCAATGACGAAGCAAAAATATGATGCAGAGATGCTAGGAATAACAGGCTTTAGGAAGGAAGACAACGATAGAAAGGCCTGCAGTGAGCGAGACCTGCACCTCGCACATTTCCGCGGTGTTGAGGCAGCCATGACTTGTATTCGTGAGGTGCGCTCGCGCCTACCAGGGAGGATGCAAGCTACATTGTTTTGTGATAAGCTGTGTGAATGGGAAGCACGAACGAAAGGCGACTTTCAGGCAACTCTAGAGCGTAACGCAACGTTATCAACCGAACTCTGCACCGAAGTTTTTGAGCGCGTTCTGCCACGAAACCTTGAGGTGATGGCCACATTGCTCGGCGAAACACCACGAGAACAATTTTCCGATGATTTGATTCGACTTCTGACGCAGTATAAGTCGGATTTACGGAGTGCAGTCGACGAGTACGCAGAACAAAGCAATGGGCCAGCTGTAGACACTTGTCTTGAGGAAGCTCTACTGAAGCCTATCAGCGCCTCTATACAGAAATGGAGCACCATAATTTTACGGCAGTACAAAACTCACCTACGGAGCTGGAAGACCGAGAAAGAGCAGCTTGATAGCGCGTACAAGCTTGCCACGGTGCACGAGACAGACACAATTGCCTCTGCAAACGACCAAAAGCGCTCACGCGAGGCGCAATTGGCGCAGGCGACGGAGCAGCTTTGTGAGGTGCGTCGTGCGCTCCACAGAGAGCTTAACAACAAAAAGAGTGAGCTAGAAGGTCTGACGACTGAGCTTTCGACCATGGTTTTGAGGTACAATGTCCGTGTAAAGAATGCCGAGAGCGATCTCGCTTGGGCTCGCAGTCGGACTGAGGAATTGGAGAAGTCGGTGACCGCAAGTCGTCAGCGTAAGGAGGAAAAGTTAGCTGCTGCTAAGCAAGTTATGGAGAAGCAACGCAGCTTTCGTCAAGAAGAGCGTTCGTTGCTTGTTCAGCAGAAGGAAATGTTGGTACAGCTTGTGCAACTGGAACGTGAACTCGTGCAGAAGAGGACCAACCACGCGCAGAAGGTCTACGAGTTGCAAAACGAGCATGCAAAGACCTTGGCGAGCATACGGCTCCAGCAGGCCAAATCACAACGTCAATTGAAGTCTCAGGTGAAAAAAGAGATATGCCTCCTCAGACGCGCACATGAAGCGAACAAGAAAACGATTTTTGCGCAGAATGCTGGCTTGGACAAAGAGATGGCTGAAATTCGGGAGAAACTAGCGGTGTATGAGGCTGAAGAGGAGATCGCCAGAGCTGCTGCCACTGCAAGCCGTAATTTCTTCAAGTCAATGCCGATGATGTCGTTACCACTGATGCAAGCTCCTGTCGCAACTATACGTCAACCTACGAAGCGATCAAGCGAAACACCAATGGTAAAGGAGTTTACGGCTCCAGCCCGATTCAGCTCCTTAGATGACACTTCCACAAGCTCGGCGAGTCCAACTGCTCGTGCTTAGTTACGCAGAACCGCAATGTATGCGAGCAACTTGAAGACCACTTAAAGCGCATTTACAAACGGACGCCCACTGTGGTATCTTATAAAAAGAGATGAAATAATACAGAGCAGAATATTCCAAGTTAAAGATACGTGTACATATCTACGGTACATCCCTGAACGACTCGGAAGAGGTAAAGCGTGTAGGAGTTCAACTACTAATAAAGGCAAGTGTACCGGGCTAAAAGTTACACGGTTCGTTAAGCTTCGAATACTTAAGTAAAAGGGTACGAGGTACCTTAGGCCTGTCACTTGGGGGTAGCACATCAATGTGACCCACCTTCGTGAATGTGATATCCATGGATGGATTTACATTTAACGGGGATCACGCCAGTTGGGACTAGGCGTCATGGTGACGCTTCAGACAGACGTCATCAGCGAGCTTAGATATACTTAAGCTCGCACGTAAGGATACGATTCTAAAGAGACGCGTATCCGATCTTTTATATTTGACCAATCAGTAGTAAGAGTTATATTTAGTTCGTTTCTATTAAATATAAGTGAAACTTGAATTTACAACATCACACTCACTGCGCACGGGAAGACTGGAAACAGCTTCCGTGACGCAGGTAGGTGCTTGTTTTAAAGTTCATTGCGCGGATAGCTTCAAGCGTCCGACCAACAATGCGGTTTGGCGCAGCCCAGGATGGTGTCGTATGCCATGTCAAATTTGCGTGGCAAAGCATCAGAGTGGGCTTGCTCTGCGCTTATGGCAAACGCCGATGCGTTTCCATATTGGGCGATCTTCAAGTCAAAGATTTGCGCCATGTATCAGCCGCCTAACAACGATGTGGTGCTAATGGCGCGCTTTTTGGGAGCACGATAGGCGAAACGATCTCTGCAAGAGAATGTGCAGGAAATGCGTTCGCTGTCAGCGTCCATAAATGTGGGCCCGATACCGGAACACATAAAGGTGCCTTCGTTTATGTATAGACTACGGCACGGCCTATCGCGTCAGGCCCTGTTTTAGAAAAATGCTAAGAACGATGGAGGAGGCACATGAAACTGCCATGGTTGAGGAGCAATCTTCGCGCCCTAGTTGATTTTGGGTCGTCGAACAACTTTGTTCGACGCCAATCGTAGATGATCGTAGGCTCAAATATGTTGATTCCGAGACCCCTCCAACGAGGTTGACGGTGCGTTTTGCAACTGGCGCATTCGTATCAGTAAAGAAACGTGTATTGGGAATTCACTACACGCTTGAAGGCAAAAAGTACGATGATGATTTCATCGTACTTGACCTAGATGAAAAATTTGATTTTATCCTAGGATTACCATGGCTCTGGAGGTACGAGCAATGGGTCAGCTGGCAGCATCGAACCGTGAAGATGCCTATCGCTTGTTTATCAGATGGCCATCTGATGAGCGTATTGAAGCGTTCTTAAGCGTGTGAATGTACTACGAGTGTTTGTGGTGGCCTTACTTGTGGTTCGGTCGTTAGCACGACTGCACAAGAGCTCAGTGTGACACAAACACACTGTGGAGCAAGCTGCCGGCGGCTGTGCACAAGCACAGGAAGCGCCGAAGGTTCACCACTCGAATAAGTCGAGTGGACCGGGACATGAATGCTCGCTTAGAGGGCAGCATTCACCGAAGAGTAAACCGGTTGCCCAGAAGCAGCAACACGGTAGTCCTAGACCAACTGGAGAGTTGATCGTAGAGGATCTTGCTGTGGTTGCGCCACCACAGCTAGAGGAAGTCGATGGAACAGTTTAATCGAGCCTGCGGGAATAAGTATCCAGGAAACAACTACTGAGGGAATAAGTCTCCAGGAAGTAACCGGACGTTGAACGTCTTGGTTAATGACGGATCACACGTAGGCGCTTATACGCTTGATCTGGTCGCGCCTCCGAAATTAAATTCGGAGATTACTCAGTTGCCTACGCTAGAACCTAAAAGGTTCTTGCGTGATCTGCGTAGTGGCAAAGTCAAGCAGATCTGTGTGCTCGTCGCAGAAGACGAGTACATGACTGACATTCGGTCAGCAACAGTTTTTGCCGAGAACGAACGGGTTCTCAGCAGCTCATCAATGGAAGAAAGTGTCCTTGATGAGAAGACTCGGATTGAACGATATACATCGCAATCCTGGGAGTCGCTGAAGTCAAATCCTTTGTACAAGGATTTGGTCGAATTCAAGGATGTATTCCCTGAATTAGTTCCGTGCGAGTTTCCTAAGGATAAAGGTACTCGACACGAGATCGACCTTGTTCCTGGCACAATATATTGTGTCATGAAGCAGTGACCATTACCTCGGGAACAGGTCGAGGCGATCGACAAGATCTTTGCCGATCGCCTAGCTGCTGGCCATGTGAGGAAGTCAACTTTTCCTCACAGCTCTCCGACCTTCTGTGTGCGCAAGGCCACAGGAGGGTGGCGGATAGTACACGCGTTCAACAAGTTGAACGCTGCAACGATACCGGCGCAAACGCCAATACCGAGAAAGGACGTAATCATAGATGGTATGTCGAAGAGTACCATCTTTTCGTCCATGGATTTGATGGTTGGTTTCTATCAGATCCTAATGCGTGAACGGGACATCCCGTACACAGCAGTGAGCACTCCCAGTGGTATGCTCTGGGAATGATTGGTGATGCCGCAAGGGCTTAGTAATGCACCAGCCACATTCAATTGATGTGTTTCACATCTATTGAGACCGGTGCGCGAATTCGCACCGTGTTATTTCGATGACTTGTTCGTCCATAGTCGAGCTATGGACGGGAAACAGACGTGGAAGTCCATAGACTCCACGTCCGTAAGGTTCTTACACTTATGCGCGAGCATAAGTTGTACGCCAACCTCAAGAAGTGTATATTCGCAGCTAGAGAAATACCACTTCTTGGGTGCATCGTCGGAAAGAACGGCGTACGCCCTAATCCAGAGAAGATCGAGGCGATCACCGACTAGTCAGTGCCAGTCGATGTCAAGGGACTAAGGAATTTCCTTGGGCTAGCGGCGTACTTGCACAAGTACTCGCGCAACTACGCCGAAATGACAGTACATCTTTCTTGTTTACTCAAGAAAAATGTAAAGTGTAATTGTAACGCTAACTGTCAGCGTTCCTTTGAACGTATCAAGCAAAGCTTGATGCAATCGCCAGTATTGGCGATTGCAGATCAAGACAGACCATTTCATGTGGTCTGTGACGCTAGCGATTTTGCAATCGGCTATGCTCTGATGCAATATGATACAGACGGCGCAGAGCGTGTCGTCTGTTATCAATCGCGTTAGCTGCAACCGGCCGAGCGCAATTACCCGGTGCATGACAAGGAACTCCTCGCCATGAAGTATGCACTGGCTAAGTTTCGCGTCTATCTCTTAGGGGATAGACCTATACAGACCATGCGTCACTACGCACGGCTGTAAACAGCCTACACCTCTCGTAACGAATGGCGAGGTGGTTGTCGTTCTTCGCGGAGTACAACTTCTCCGTGGAGTATAAACCGGGACGACTTAACGTCGTCGCCGATGCTCTCTCACGTCGGCCTGACCTAAAGCCGACAGTGCAATCCGGCAGTGATGTGAACACCACTGTCGCCACGCTGAGTACCAGCAACTTGTCGTCGAGTTTACTCGACGACAGGCATGCACACAAGATGTTGATCTCGCAAGCCTGATGGATTACCTCAATGACCCAAACAAGAAAGCTAATAAGTGCTTGCCTGCCATGTATCGATCTTCTCTAGATCAATACACCCAGTGGGACGGCTTACTGTACTACAAAGCCGTCAACAACGACACGCCTCGTGTTGTTGTACCGCCACACATGATCTCAGGTTACGGATCATGTTTGAATGTCACGATGCACCAATAATTGGGCATCGCGGCCGTGAGAAGACTTACCTCACGGTCAGTCGCGACTTTTACTGGCCACGCCAGTATAAGATGATGTGCAAGTACGTGCGTGCTTGCGAGGTGTGTCAACGAGTGAAGCCTATTCCTCCACTCCGTTCACCATTACATCCTCTACCTGTTACGGCGAGTGCTGGGAGTCCGTATCAATGGACTTCGTCTTTGGGTTTCCCAAAGACGCTCACGGGAATAATGGTATTCTCGTGTTTGTAGACAGGTTCAGCAAGATGGTACATCTTGTTGCTGTACCTAAGTCGATCACAGCAGAGGGCTGTGCTCGAGTGTTTATCGATACAATCTTTCGATTGCACGGTTTACCCCGTGAACTTGTGTCCGATAGGGACCCCCGGTTCACGGCTGAGTTTTGGCGTTCCGTGTTCCAAACACTTGGAACACGGCTCACAATGTCTACTTCTGACCATCCAGAAACTGATGGTCATACTGAACGCGCCAATCGCGTCCTCGAAGAGATTCTTCGAGGGTACGTCCAATAGTTTACGAGTTGGAGTGAGTTCATGTCGATGGTCGAATTCTCCATCAACAACTTCGTGCATGCGTCCACGACGCATACACCGTTCTACGTGAATGGCCTTCGCCATCCACGTGTCCCCACCTTAGTAGAGGGTGACTCTAATTTTAGGGGGGAGAGACTCGCTCGAGCAAGAAAAATCTGGCTCTTGCTCATCACGCGACGACGTTATGGTCGACGCGAAAAGTAAACGAAGTCGTACCTCTCGGCTTCGGTAAAGAGGAAGGAAGTTAGAGCGATGACTCTATAATAGATGACGACGATAAAGACATTAGCATCGTTCGAGGTATCACTAGCGGAAACACTAATGTTTTGCTGATTTAGTAACAGATATCGTTGCAGTGCATTCACAAAGTACTGCAGCCAAAATCAATGAGCTAGAAGAGGATTTCCTGCTGACTCGTAAAGAGGTAGTCCGTTTCGTGCAAGATTCCATCGCAAAAGCGGTGGACAAGCAGAAACGCTACGCAGACAATAATGGAGGGCAAATGCTCGAGCATTTTTTGAGGTAATTTAGTTTTACTGTCTACAGTAAGTTTACCTAAACACGTAGTGGATAACATGGGCAGCAATAAATTTGTTCC